AATCGGGACTGGTTGGACATGGTTTGCTCTTGTCAGCCCTTGTCTGGTCTCGTCTGGCATGGCTTAGACTGGCTTGCTTTGGCTTCGCTAGTTTGTTCGGACATGAATTGGCCTGAAATGGCCTGAAATGGCCTTGCTTGGGTCTGGCGTCACGTGCCTTGGCTTGGATTGGCCATGATTGGCTTAGCTTGGCTCGATTGCCTGGACTTGGTTGGCTTGGATTGTATTGGATTGGATTGGATTGGATTGGATTGGATTGGATTGGCTTGGCCTGGTTTGGCGTGGCTTGGCCTGCTCTTTCTTTCATTGGCTCCCTTGATTGGACATGTGGTGAACCTCGGCTTGATTTTTCTTGGCTTCGGTTGGCCTGGCTAGGACCAGATTTTGTTTTTCTAGGTTATACTTGCCTTGACTATGCTATGCTTGCCTTGACTAGGCTATACTTGCCTTGACTAGGCTATGCTAGGCTATGCTTTGCTTGCCTTGGATTGAGAAGGCTCAGCTAGGCTATGCTTTGCTTGCCTTGGATTGAGTAGGCTCAGCTAGGCTATGCTTTGCTTGCCTTGGATTGAGTAGGCTCAGCTAGGCTATGCTTTGCTTGCCTTGGATTGAGTAGGCTCAGCTAGGCTATGCTTTGCTTGCCTTGGATTGAGTAGGCTCAGCTAGGCTATGCTTTGCTTGCCTTGGATTGAGTAGGCTCAGCTAGGCTATGCTTTGCTTGCCTTGGATTGAGTAGGCTCAGCTAGGCTATGCTTTGCTTGCCTTGGATTGAGTAGGCTCAGCTAGGCTATGCTTTGCTTGCCTTGGATTGAGTAGGCTCAGCTAGGCTATGCTTTGCTTGCCTTGGATTGAGTAGGCTCAGCTAGGCTATGCTTTGCTTGCCTTGGATTGAGTAGGCTCAGCTAGGCTATGCTTTGCTTGCCTTGGATTGAGTAGGCTCAGCTAGGCTATGCTTTGCTTGCCTTGGATTGAGTAGGCTCAGCTAGGCTATGCTTTGCTTGCCTTGGATTGAGTAGGCTCAGCTAGGCTATGCTTTGCTTGCCTTGGATTGAGTAGGCTCAGCTAGGCTATGCTTTGCTTGCCTTGGATTGAGTAGGCTCAGCTAGGCTAAGCTTTGCTTGCCTTGGATTGAGTAGGCTCAGCTATGCTATGCTTTGCTTGCCTTGGATTGAGTAGGCTCAGCTATGCTATGCTTTGCTTGCCTTGGATTGAGTAGGCTCAGCTAGGCTATGCTTTGCTTGCCTTGGATTGAGTAGGCTCAGCTAGGCAATGCTTTGCTTGCCTTGGATTGAGTAGGCTCAGCTAGGCTATGCTTTGCTTGCCTTGGATTGAGTAGGCTCAGCTAGGCTATGCTTTGCTTGCCTTGGTGTCGCTTGACTGGATTTGGTCTTGCTTTCCCTGGTTTGGGATGGCTTTGATTGGGCCTGGATTGGCTTGGATTGGCCTGGCCTGGCTTGGTCTGGCTTGGTCTGGCTTGGTCTGGCTTGGCTTGGCTTGGTCTGGCTTGGTCTGGCTTGGCTTGGCTTGGTCTGGCTTGGTCTGGCTTGGTTTGGCTTGGTTTGGCTTGGGTTGGCTTGGATGTCATGGCTTTTCTTGATTTGGATCATCAATGTTTGGGTAGGTTTGGCTGGGCTTGGATTGGCTTGGCTTGCCTTGGCGGTGAAGCGGTGAGAGGTGTAAGCTAGTGAGGCAATGCATTGTGAGGGTGGAAGTGAGTTATCCAATGGGGATGGCGGTGGAGGTGGAGGAGGGAGAAGGCTGATATCTGTAGTTTCCAGGCTCGGCATACGCATCTAAGGGATAAGCAGGGCTGATACAAACAACGCAAAAGAAGTGAAATACAAGACTTTCTAACAAACAGTAAACGTTGCTGGGAGAGAGAAAGGAGATGGATAAGAAGAGCTGTTGATGTATATTTCACTGTACATCCATGCATTGGATCGGATAAATACTTTCTTCAAGACTTCAGTAAGGAATGGGAAAGGTTTCCCTTGAGCGTCACACAGGTAACTCATCCCCTACTGGTACCTCCTCTGCGTCACACACCTGTTCTTCTGCCAGTCCCAGTTACTCTGGATCAGAAACCTCATGTTCTTCATTCCAACAAGATTGTACTTGTACGTTCCGCCGCGGCTGTCCTTGCCCGTCTTTGTCTGGCCAACATCCATGTAGCACTTGTCCGCATTCTCACCGTTCTCGTCGCCCCACCCGGAATCAACATCTGGGTCCGTTGCTGCTTCCGCAATTTCATGAGCGATGGTTGAAAGCGTGAAATCGATCGCAGGGTTGCCGTTGGGAGACGGTTTTGGTATCCATTCTTCTTTGCACTGCCCGTGGTGCCCCACGAACGAGAAGACAACCGGCTTTGACTCGATGTACCCCATACTGTGCCATCCCATATACTCGGTACAGAAACCCGGGACCGTAACATCCTTGCTGGAAAGAAGCAGGTAGATGCCACTCGCGTCGTACGGAAACGGCTTTCCAGCGCCAATCTTGTTTGAAAGAACTGCAACACAGAGAAGGGCTTTTAATAGTTCAGATTGTGACAGAAACGTATCCTTTCTTACGGCAGTGCATAGTTGCTCAACGGCAGGTATCATCATGCTGGAAGAGGCCGCGAAATGGTTTTGCCGTGCTGCGTACCTTCCCAAACCGTGTCTTCGCCAAAATCCTTTCCCGCCGAGTAGTTGTCACAAACAGTCCTGGCGAGGCGCACCTGGAATGAAACGAATCCAAAAGAATTTGCATTTCATAAGTTGATAGAGAGAAACGAGGCGCTTCATGGGAGGGGTGTTGTGGCAAAGTTATGGGAGGGCGTCGTGGCGAAGGTCCGCACCTTGCTGCTGACGTTCTTCTTTGTGCCGTCCTCTTCCTGCTGCGTGTACGCCGCGCTGATCGCCCACCAGCGCTTCACCTTGGGATCCGTGGGGCTGCCCTGCTGCTTCGAGTCCGCGCTCAGCGACCGGATAAAATTTTCGATGATATTCTGGCCCGAACCCGCCGGCCAGCTTCCGTAGTAGATGATGTACACGTTGATGGACGGTTTTCCGGTCATCACGGGCCCTCCTCCGTATGTGATTGGAGCGCTTGAATCTTCAAACGTGTGCACACGCGGGCTCGCGCCACGGCCGACGATGTCGGTCAGCTGGCGCTGACGGCGGTGCTCTTCGCGTGCGCGGGGCGTGCGCGCGATGCGCGGCGCACTGGCGGATGCGAGGGGGAGAGGCGAGAGGCAGACGAGGGAGAGGTAAACGAGCAACGGGAAGTAGTTTCCCGTGAGTTTTGCCATTGCGAATGGCTGAGGTTCGTGGCGGAAAAAAGGAACGGGGAACGTGCCTGATCTATCTGTCAGATGGCATTCAAATTGTTCCTGGGATCAAACGATATAAGAGATTCTGTTAGCTGCGGACGCGGGGTCAGATACGGGACTCGAAACAGGTGCGAGCAGGTGGCGACCGAGGAAGGAATGTTGGTAGAAAAGCGCCGAGGTTGGGCATTTATACCTTCTTGAGCAACTTGGTAGTACCCTTGAAGGGCACTCTGACTTGGTAGTAGTGTTGGGGACGTCGGTGTTCGTCTGAATGTCAAAATAATTCTCTGGTCTTTTCTTCCTGATTTTCAATGTGATGCCGAGCAAGCATTTCGCGGCTCGATTTCGTGGAAGGTTTCGATTTGGCAGATGGAGGGTCCGAAAACAAAAGTTTACCATTCCAATTCAAAACAGACCGCTTTAGAACGTACATCGCCTCATCAAGCCGTATACAGATGCACTCTCGAGACGCGCCCTTTGTCCACGAAGTCGCGGTTCGAATCTCTCAAGCGAGTCCGAAAGTCTTACTGTGGGCTCATCAGCTACACTGCATTTCCCGAGTACAGAAGCGAGTAAGTAGTACCGAAAACAAGGAAGAAAGAGGGGGACCAAACACAAGTTTGGTCTGACCTGTTATCCACAGACAAACAAAACATTTACCAACACCATGAAATGCATATATACAATTAGATCCCCATGTAATGTGCCTACCAAGATCATCTCATGCTGGAAAATATCTTCCAATACCGTAACCCTCTGCTACTGCCAACTTTCTTCAAGCCTCCAATGTTCCACCGATGCCCAGGGCCCGTGCTAGGATTTGGGGCACCCTGAGGCCTCAGGGCACCTTTCCAGAATCGTAAAAAATGCCCTGATTTGTCAGGGCAAATTTTCGAAGCCTTCCTGTATGTTCAGGGCTTTTCAGAAATCAATCCTGACCTGTCAGGGCAAAAAAACAAGTGTAAAGGGTTCAGATTGGTTGGTTGACAGAGTTAAATTGATGTTGTACCTACGCCTGCACGGGGCTGGGTTCGAATCCAGGGTAATCAGGATGTTTTGCCCTGATAACGTGGGGCCTGCCGATGCCCCTAAGATAAGCTATACTGAATTTCCCATATTCAATCAATGCCAAAATATGCACACTACACAAAATACCATGAGCCACCCACCAGTTTCACTCAGGAACTCTCACTCAAGAACGCCTTGCTCTCGAGTCTTCACATCCACCCCTGTGCTTCCTGTACAAATACAGACTATACAAAGCGTTACGTACCTCCACCTCTCCCATCGTTTTTACCACCACCCACCACCCACCGTCCCGTACCCCAACCCTCCGGCAACCACCATCGCCAGCCAACCTCTGTCCCCATCACCTTCTAAAATGTTACGCACCTTGACCAATCACATTCTATAACCACCACCCTGTACCCCAACCCTATGAGAACCACCTTACTACCTTATGCACAACTCCATACCACCATATACCTTATACACAACACCATACCACCATACCTCTGAGCCCAAGGCTCTCACAGAAGCAGCCCTTTCACGAACTGGGGGAAAGAGGTATCCCCTGCAGCAGCGGGTGCCCCCAGCTGCCCCTTGCTCCCTCCCCCACATGCCAACACCCTGCCATCACTGGTCAGAGCGAGCATGTGAGCGTCAAAGTGGCCGGCATTCGACGTACTTATCTGCACCACCGTACCCCTCCTGCTGCTGCTGCTGCTGCTGCCTGTAGCATCGCTGGTGCTCCTTCTGCCGTTTCCGTTGCTGTTGCTGGTCTTGGAGTTGGTGTTGCTGCTGCTGTTGCCGCTGGGGCTATCCAGGCCAGAGCTGCTGCTGCTGGCAACGTTGCTGCTGCCGACGTTGCTGCTACCAACACTACTACTGACGATGCTGTTCATCCAGTCACTCAAGCTCACAGCCATGGCATCACCGCTGCCTCTCCCACTCCCATCTCTACCACTCCCACTCCCATCTCCACTACCCAGACATCCACTGCCGTTGCCAGAGCCACTGGTAACCACAGACAAGAGCGGTGTTACAGGAGTGACGTCACCAGCAGGACCATTGGCAGCAGCAACCGTTGCAGCAGCACCAGTAGCAGTATCGGCAGCAGCAGCCGTGGCAGTAACAGGAATCATTCCAATCACGCTCACTCGTCCCCCAGTGGCAGCAGCAGGTAGACTGCCCCACGTGAACAGCCCTCTCACACTGCCCCTTGCATCGGCCGTCCCCCCACCTAGCAACGTGGACGCAGCAAGAGTGGCCGCAACAGGAGGGGTAGCAGCAGCTGGAGGGGCAAGTGGGTTGACGGTGGACGGGAGTGCACCAGCAGTATCAGCATCCGAAGCAGCAGGAGCGGTAGCAGCAGCAGCAGGTAGAGAAGCAGGGGGGTGGGCAGCTCGCTCCTCCAGCAGAGACACTCGCCTGGGCTGCATCACATCCCGATTGCGCCTCCGGTGCTGCCGCAGCTGGTGGGGTGGGGAGAAGAGGGCAGTGGGGAGAGGGGAAGTGGGGTGTGAGGTGAGGCGAGGACAATGCGTATCCAGAGCAACAGGAGCGGCAGAGGGAGCAGCAGGAGCGGCAGCAGGGGCAGGGGGCAGAGCAGCAGGCGGATGGGCAGCTCGATCCTCCAGCAGAGACACTCGCCTGGGCTGCATCACATCCCGATTGCGCCTCCGGTGCTGCCTCAACTGGCGAAAGGTGGGGGAAGTGGGCAGTGTAATGGAGTGGGAATGCAGGAGGGGTATGAGAAGCAGGGGGGTGGGCAGCTCGCTCCTCCAGCAGAGACACTCGCCTGGGCTGCATCACATCCCGATTGCGCCTGCGGTGCTGCCGCAGCTGGTGGAGGGTGCGGGAAGAGGAGGGTGTGGGTGGGAGTGAGGAGCGCAGACGGGTGTGGAGTGAGGTGAGGGCGGGAGGTGAGAAGGCAGTGCATAACACCCGCCTGGGCTGCATCACATCCCGGTTGCGCCGCCGGTGCTGCCGCAGCTGGTGAAAGGTGGGGAAATTCAATGTATACTGCAATTACAACAACAACAACAACAACAACAACAACAACAAAAAGTGGGGGGAGTAAAGGGGCAGAATGGGATGATTGAAGGGGTGTGGTAACTGTAGGAGATGAGAGGTCAGTGCGTAACACCCGCCTGGGCTGCATCACATCCCGATTTCGCCTCCGATACTATTGCAGTTGGCGGGGGGAAGGAGAAAATGGGGGTGTGGGTGGGGTTGAGGAGAGCAGTGGGGTGAGGAAGGGAGGAGAGACAAGGCCATTGTGTGTGGTGGGGTGAGTGCGAAAGATGTAACTTCCAGCTTCTCTCAGCGCAAGCTGAAAGGGAGAAAATAATTCTAGGGAAAAGCTGAAAGGCGTTTATGGTGAACACAGGATGGATCATATTCCTTTTGAAAATTCCTCACCATGATATCGTGCAAATCAGGATCGTCGATTTCTTCCCCTTCCTCCTCCTCCTCCCTCTCCCACCCGCCGCCATGCCCCAAGCATGCGCTCTCCGCGCTTCCAAACGACCACACCTCGCCGCCCTCCCCCACCACAAACGTCGTGTAATCCCCTGCTGCCACGTGGCAGGCTTTGACGGCTGGATGGAGCTTGCCATGTGAGCCGTGCGATTCATCCCTGCTGGCAGGTGCCACTGATCCAGTAGGGGCAGAAGCAGCAGCAGCAGCAGAAGCAGGGGCAGCACCACGAGAACCAGCAGCATCATTAGCACCAGCGCCACCACCACCCCCCCCATTCACCCCACTGCTCATATCCCCCTCCTCCTTTTTACACAAGCTCTCAATAACCCTGGGCAGCGTTTCACACTGGTCCTTCCCATGCCCCAGGCACCCGTGCCTGCCCCACCCCCACGTGGCAACTCTCCCATCAGCAGCAACAGCAGCGGCATGCCACGCGCCCGCAGCCATGGCTGTGGGGGCGAACTCTAGGGTTTTGAAGTGCGCGATTTCCTTTGGGCGGCGTTCGTCGTACTTTGTGCCGTGGCCTAGCTTGCCGCCCAGACCACAGCCTATGGACCAGACAGACCTGAGGACAAGAGGGGGGAAAAGGGGGAACAGGGGAGAAGAGAGCAGGGAGGGAAGTGGAAGAACAAAAAACGGCTGTGATCTTGTGTGCCACTGCCTGTCCCACCCCCACGTGGCGACTCTCCCATCAGAAGCAACAGCAGCGGCATGCCACGCGCCTGCAGCAACGGCTGTGGGGGCGAACTCTAGGGTTTTAAAGTGCGCGATCGCTTTCGGGCGGTGTTCGTCGTACTTGGTGCCGTGGCCCAGCTTGCCGCCCAGACCACAACCTATGGACCAGACAGACCTGAGGAAAGGAGGGGGGAAGAGAGAGGAGGAAGGAAACGGGTGTGTGGCATAGCCTAACTTTTCAACGAAAACTACAGCTTCCCATGCTAGTGTAGTGTAATGAGTCAACCCGAGCAAGTGGCAGTGCCCCTCAAGCTTGCTATCTGCACCGTTCTGTGCCCATGGCCAATACCATCTGTCCACGGCTCACCACACCACTGGGTGTATCACGGGGCACACCTGCCATAAGTAACAGTGCCCCCCTGCTATCTGCACCACTTGTCCCACCACACCACATCAAACCACACCACACCACACCACACCACTGGGCGTATCACTAGCCTCACCTGCCGTGAGGCTCCTTGGCGCAAGTCAACCCGAGCAGGTAGCAGTGTCCTCCTGCTATCTGCACCACTGGGAGAGACACTATCCCGCCCTCCTCCTCTTCATCTTCTTCTTCCTCCTCGTCCTCTCCCCCTTGCTCCTCCACCTCCATACGCGTTTCACCACACTTGCAGCTGCCGCAAGCAACACTACCAGCAGCAGCACCACCAACATCCAATCCCACACTACTGCATCCCGTGACTCCACAACAGCCTGCCAATCCCTTCCCTTTCATTCCCATCCCTCTTCCCGCCTTCCCCCCCAACCTCCCCTTCCTCCCCCCACAACCCCCTCCCCTCGCCCCTACACCCAGCCCAAGCACGGCGCTCATCCCAGGTCCGGCAAGCTGCCGCGGCACGGTGTCCGCAGGATCGGTGGCGTGCCCGAGCCTCTCGCCTCGGAACTCACTGCCTGCTGCAACGGCATTATTGAAGCTCTGGCTTGCATCACCATCACCATCAGCGTCAGAATTAGCGGAAACAGCAGCAACAGGGAAAGCGGCAGCAGCAGCAACAGCAGCAGGAGCAGCGGCAGCGGCAGCGGCAGCGGCAGCAGCAGCAGCAGTGATGGTGGTGCGTCTGCCGTCCCCCCGGCCGCCCCAAGAGAGAGTGAAGACGCGGCCTTCTGCTGAGAGCACTGCTGTGAAGAAATTCCCCAACGCGACCTGCAGGGGGGAAGGGGGTGGGAAGCAGAGAGAGGGGCATTGAAAGAGGGCAGAGAGCACTGCTGACTTTTGAGTCGACTCCAAGAGAGAGTGAAAGTGCGGCCTTCAGCTGAAAGCACTGCTGTGAAGTAATTCCCCAATGCGACCTGCATGGGGGAAGGGGTGGGAAGCAGAGAGAGGGGCTTTGAAAGAGGGCAGAGAGCACTGCTGACTTTTGAGTCGACTCAAATGCCCCCCCGTCCACCCCAAGAGAGAGTGAACGCACGGCCTTCAGCAGAGAGTACTGCTGTGAAGAAATTCCCCAGGGCGACCTGCACGGGGGAAGGGGTGAAAGCAGAGAGAGGGCTGCGAATGAGGGAGGTACAGATGCAAAGGGATGTGAAGGGGTGTGAAGGGATGTGGAAGAGATGCAAAGCGGTGTGAATGAGTTGTACAGCACAATCAAGGTTGAAGATGTGATAAGCCTCAGAACCAGAGCATGGCAAAGTGTGTAATGAGTGGGTCATGATAACGTACGTAACTGGGTGAATTTTGAGTCGAATCAAAAGTCACTTTGAGAAGCCTCAGAACCAGAGCATGGCAAAGTGTGTAATGAGTGGGTCGTAATCATGAACTTAACTGTTTTTTAAGGCGCCTCACCTGAACAACTTGAATGTGCCGAAGCGACTCCACGAGCCGAGGCTCGGTGACAGGCTCGGGGGAGGTGAGGGAGTATTCCTGGTCGCCGAAGCAGTCCCTGCCGAAGTGATACACCGAGCCTGTGTCTGAGACTAGCATTGTCCTCGCCCTGCCTGCTGCTGCCTGCACCACGCGCACCCCTTGAAGCGACCTGAGGGTGGGAGGACAGATGCACCAACCAGGAAAGGAGAGGAGGGAAAAGAAAGAGCATGAGGGTTTGATACACCGAGCCTGTGTCCGAGACCAGCATGGTCCTCGCCCTGCCTGCCGCTGCCTGCACCACGCGCACTCCGAGCAACGACCTGCATATGAGGGGAAAGAAAGTAGGGATGTGAGTAGGAGGGAGAATAGAGCATGGGGTCGTCATACACCGAGCCTGTGTCTCAGACCAGCATGGTCCTCGCCCTGCCTGCTGCTGCCTGCACCACCCGCACTCCTAGCAGCGACCTGCGGGATGGAGGGACAGAGGCAGTCGGGAGGATAATGGGAAGGGGAATAGAGAGAGCATGGGGTCATGACACACCGAGCCAGTCCAGTGTCCGGGCCGGGGTCATCATGGTCCGTTTCTGTGTCATGTATGGAACTTCCCTCACATGCGTCGTACCCCTGTCACATGCATGGTACCCCTGTCACATGCATGGTACCCCTGTCACATGCATGGTACCCCTGTCACATGCATGGTACCCCTGTCACAGGCATGGTACCCCTGCTGTATACATACCATGTGTTACACTCAAAAGCTACAGTTGATTCTGTTATGTCACCTTGCTGTCACATGCATTACAGTTGAAGAAGGCTTACCGCTTTCTATGTGTTCTGTTGCAACGGGCACACAATAAGAGTTATCGACTGTTCACCATCATATCATAACTCAAAACACAGCCTACCTCACTACCTCACACTCAACCTGCACACACCGCATGGAACCATGTGCACATGTGATAGCCCTCACCTCACAATCTGTGGCTTCCAGGAAGGTTCCGCGGACGCATCACCACTCCCCACCAGCCCCCTTTCAATCCCACTCCTTAAAGTCACAGTCACAGCCCCCGTTGCAGTGGCTGCCAGAGTGGTTGTCACATCGTTTGCAAGCCCAGCAAACCCACCAACAGCAGCAGCTGCAGCAGCGGCAAAACCAGCATAACCAGCAGCAGCGGCAGCAGCAGCAGTACCACCAGCAGCCGCACCAGCACTGCCAGCAGCAGCCAGGGGTCTCCCCAGCTGCCCCGCCGACCCATGCCCGAACGTCCACACCTCTCCACCGCGCCCCACCGCTACGCTGTGTGCACATCCCGCTGCCACCTGGGGCTGACCGTGCCTGGCAGACAAGATTCGAGCCAGAGGGAAAATATACTTAGCAGTGTGCCAGTGGGAAGCAAAAGGAGCAGGTACAGCAGGAAAACAACTTGCAAAAAGCACAGTCTGAGCGACAGCAAAGAACACAGTTATGCAACGACGTCACCTAGCGTTACCACTTGTTACCAGAAGTTATCAGATCTTACCTGATGCTACCAAGTGTTACCCTGACGTTACCAGATGTTACAAGAGGTCACCTGAGTTACTCTGTTCCCTGATGCTACCAGGCGTTACCGGATGTCACAGAATGTGTCTTTAGTTACCCTGTTACCTGATGCAGGCGTCGCTGGTGATAAGGAAACGCAGTAGAAGCTTCCACGAACGCCCGCAGCGCGCCCACAGCAGGCGCTGCTGCGCGCGCGGCAGCATGCGGAAGCGCAGGGAGTGCTGCTGGCAGCGGTCGTGCGCCGCCACTTCCGCCAACGAGAGGCGCGGGTGCGGAGTCAGATGCGCGGGGCGGCGGAAGAACCCGCACACGAGCTGGTGGGACGGGGAAGAGAGAGGCAAAAAGGGGGAGGGACATGGGAAAGCGCACGGAGTGCTGCTGGCAGCGGTCGTGTGCCTAGCGAGAGGCGCGGGTGCGGAGACAGATGCGCGGGGCGGCGGAAGAACCCACACACGAGCTGTTGGAGCGTGGGTGGGGGGAAGAGACACGGGGGGGAAGGCAGAGGGGAGAGGCGGCACGGTGGAGAGACGGCACGCGGAAGCGCAGGGAGAGCTGCTGGCGTCGTGTGCCGCCGCTTCCGCCAACGAGAGGCGCGGGTGCAGAGTCAGATGCGCGGCGCGGCGGAAGAACCCGCACATGAGCTGGCGGGGCACGCGAGGGGGACGCACGGGAAGGAAGGCAGAGGGGAGAGAAGGTGCGGGAGAGAAGGGTACGGGGGAGGGGCGAGACGGGAGAGAGCTGACTCCTTCTGCCGGAAAGACGCGCACTCGTTGAAAACTAAGCCGCGCCCAGGTGTGCCGCGCGCCGCACCACAAGTCAGACAGCAAGAAACTTCCAAAAGACGTGCACGGCTTGATATGAGACAAAATCATCACATGTCAAGGTAAAACCAAAGAAGCTACCAGCCAAGGCGACATTAAAAACGACGGCTCTGAGGCGACACCTCCAAACAAGGGGCGCCGCGCGTTGAGATTATTCCTCATTCTCAGGATCTGCTCGCACACGCGTTACCTCGAGGCGCGCGAGGTCCTCCGCAGACAGGCTGACGTCAGACAGAATCCGCAGCAGCACGCTCGAGTTAACCGCCAACAACAGCTCCTCCGTCTCCCTCCGCTGACGCGAGAGCGGCGGTTCCTCAAACGCGGGTGCCGGTTCAACAGTAGCACCGACGGCGGTAGCATGTCCGGTTGTGTAGTGAGCGTCTGCTGAAGCATCGTCGCTGGCTGTAGCAGCAGTGATAAGAGACGTTGAAGGCACCGTAACGAGCGTCATCAGCTCCTTGGACCCGCCGCTCGAGCCGGCAGAAAGGCTCGTGACGGCGAGCGAGGGGTTGTCAGATATCATCGCGTCGCTGCTGCACGTGGCGCCAATCATGGCTGCTGGCTGCCTGAAGTTAAACAGCTAGAGTTCTTGTGCAGAAGGCGTGAAACGTGGCCCGTTCCCTCGTAGACGACAAGGTAGAACGGAAGCTACTCGTCGCGGCCGTTCCTTTTATGTCGTATGCAAGTCCGCAGGGTGAGATGGAAGTGAGCTGGAGTCCTTCAGATGGCACTTGGGAGTCCTGAGAATGCAAAATGGAATACTAGGCTAATCACAATACGGGAAACCACAGCCGCAGTCCTGAGAACAGAAACTGGCCGACTGGTAGCCGAGGCACTAGTGCTCGTTTGAAACGAATTTCGTAGGAATTCGAGAAACACAAGGAGTTTTTCTTATTAACGGAACAGCAAAAGCACGAGCCTCGACGAGAATCGCGCTTTCGCTGCCCCTTAGACGACGACTTCTTGCCTTACAGAACCTTGAAACCTGAGTAATCCTGCGAGCTAGAACGTGCTGAAGGGTTTTCCGTGATGGAGAGGGAGGAATAGGAATGGCAGAGCAGGAGAACGTCCTGAAATGCAACTGCGAACACCTTTCTAGGCTGAAGAAAGCAAGGGTTTCAAAGCAAGCACGGGTGAATGGGAGGGGTAGCCAGCTAATGTGTCATGCGCGCAGGAATTTGGCAGAGGGGTGCTTGATGAAAGTGAGGAAGATGAAAAATTACGTGCAAATGGGAATGGAATGGTGATGAGGCAATGTGAGGCGAGCCGAGGCGAATGACGAATGACATTCCCAAGAGCGAATTCCTCCAAGGCCTTGGACGAACGAATGCATTTGGTTTGGTGGTGTGAGCTCATTTGTCATTTCTCAGGGTGTGCGTCTCGGGAGGAAGCAAATGCGATGTGGGCATGGTTGTGTAAGGGGTATGAATTGGCTTGGAAAAATGGTTCGGAGAGGTTTGAGAGTACCGTACCTATGTATGATGCTGTCTAAGACTGTCTATAACTGGCTGAAATTTGATAAAGAGCTCTGACAGGGTACTTTCAGGCCACACCGATGATGTTTTGAGGCCAACCGAGGCTAAACCTGCAAACCTAAATACATGCCGAAAACTAGGCATGGTGATTACGTAAGGGCTCCTGGCTGGCGAGGTTGTGGTGTGGTTGATGGTCTAGGGCAAGATGCCAATGAACATGATTGGCTGAACATTTCATCTTGTGCCATCGATGGTTTGATGCGCGTGATGGTGTGGTGTGGCGTGATAGGCTGCATCCCTTCCGGATGTCACGGGACAATTCCAAAGCAGGTCGAGGTTCGCGCCGATAGGCTCGATAGGAATGCCCCATTTTCGTTTGGATGCCATACGTGCAATATCGACGGCGTATACAATTTTACTCACAGCCATCGACGGCATTCTACTGCACGAGCGTCGAAGTGGAAGGAAGGGCAATTTTCAGCCCTCATGTCGTCAACACCCCTGCAATCCAGCTCAGCTCCCATTTGTGAATGAGTGGTGGGATGGTTGTTCTGCACCAGGCGAATCTCCATCCACATTTCGTTAGCGGTAGTGTGAGCTGAATCGGGCTTTTAGCGAGTACGGTCCACTCAGCTTCAGATATCCTAGACAATAGAAGACTAGACCATTCCACCCATGATTGTTTAGCTTTGAGGCACAGTTTTGAGGTTTGACGAAGAGCGCCGATAGGGAGTGACGTAAGACAGGATACGAAAGGAACAAAATCGTCAACATAGCTTATACGATCGTACCGCGTTTCCGTGATCATCTCTATACCTTCTCCAATACAGAATTTCAGTGGAATTTCGCCAATTCTGCCTCGCGGTTATGAAAGGGCACCTTCGCAATACTTCACTGTTCAACTCTTTTGTAATTACCAACTGAAGGCTTCACGGTGAAGCTTCTTACCGATCCTTCTCCAATGAATTCGCTCGCCAGATTCGTCAGGCGAACCGCGAGAACGCGATATCATCCCACGCGGCACCGAGTCCTTCCAATTTTGGCTTCGGTGGAACAGGAACTTCCGTTTTCAGCAGCAGCAGCAGGATCCAGCCGTTCATTTGGGCTGGCAATCGCAAGCCAAGCTACCAACCAGGCAGGCTTCCTGGCATCTGACTCTTCTCGAACCACCCTCGCTTACGAAGAACTCGTTATACGCCCTAATGGTTCGTCCGAAGATGCCAAGAGCGCGAGCACCAATAGTACCGCGACAGCTGTCATCGTTCACGGCCTGTTGGGATCCGGTCGCAACTGGCGCAGCCCCGCGAAGCTTCTAGGAAACCGGTTAGTTACTGCTGGCAAATCCCTCGTAGCGGACAATTCAGCAAGTGGGCTTTCTTGGCGTTTTCTGCTGGTGGATCTTCGGCACCATGCGCAATCAGCCGCCCGGCAGTTCCTTCAGCCCGACGACATGAGCAACGCGGCTGCTGACCTGGCGCGCCTCGTCGCTGACGTGGCGGGAGGGAGAGCTGACGTGGTGATTGGTCATTCCATGGGCGGGAAAATTGCGCTGGAGTATGTGAGGAGGGCTCGCGCGGGGGAATTGCCAGTGATGCTGCCGCAGCAGGTAGGATGAGCTCAATGGGAGGGTAGGTGAGGGCGTGAAGGAGGTGAGGGAGTGAGTAAAGGAGAGCAAGGGTGGTAATGGAAGAAGAGGGGGCGGCGAGAGGGGGGGGAACTGTCAATGAGGATGCCGCAGCAGTGGGATGCAATCTATTGGTGGGGGGGCGTGGTAGCGCTCAGAGGATTGAAGGAGATGCGGGAGTGAGGGAGGGCGAGGGTGGTAACGGGATTTTTTAAGCTGTTGCCACAGCAGGTGGGATCGATGCGATGAAGTAAGACGTGATCAAGCGAGGGCGTGAGATTGTGCGGGCGGAAAGAATGATAAATTCTAGGGGCGCTTCAAAAGTGGTGAAGTGAGGGCGTGAGGTTGTGTGAGGGCGGAAGGAATGATCATGCTTTCACTGCTCATGCCGGCAGCATTCCCTGATGTAAATCTCCCTGACCTCTTTCATTGTCCCTTCTGTTTCCCCAGCTGTGGGTGCTGGACTCAGTGCCAGGCCGCATATCTGACTGCACATTGGGTGAGGATGCGGAGAGAAGGGACGTTGAAAGGGTTATTGCCACCCTGCAGGAGCTGCCTCGGCCCATCCCCTCTAAACGGTACCATTCAATCATGCTTCTGAAAGGGATTTTCCCTTGTTGATTTTGCCCTCCTACTGATCAAACCGGTGATTCTCCATCCAGTTAAAAATTCCGCCCCTCCTTATCCCAAACCGAACATGGTTTGACATGGGGCTTGCTCGATTTTCTCCGCCACATCTTATCCGAACTCCCATCCTGTCCAAAAGCACTCTTTGCCGCGCTTGTCCTCCCTTGCATGCTTTATGTTCCTTAGTCTGATCATGGAAGGAAGCACCATAACCCACGTGCGTTCCCTGATCCACATGCACCATCCACAAATGCATCATGGATGCATGCCCTGTGCCTGGATGCTTTATTGCTTGGATGCACCATTATGTCCAGCAATAATGGCATAATGGTGGACCAGATGCATCATGCCGACATGCATCATGCCGACATGCATCATGCTTGCATGTCCCATGCCTGAATACACCTCCCGAACCTCAGGTGGCTTCTCCAGGAGCTGACTCAGCGCCGAGGCTTCTCCTCAGGCTTGGCAGAGTGGCTTGCCACGAGCCTCAGACCCATAGCTGCTTCGTCTGGCTCAGCTGGTTCGGCTGGTTCTGCTGCTGCCGGGGCTGGCGTGAATGGGGAGATGGATTGGGTGTTCAACCTGGATGGCGCGGTTTCTCTCTATAACAGCTACAGGTGACCATGAGAGAGTGTTCAAAGGAGTATGTGCAGGGGAGTGTGTGGTGGAAAGCGTGTTGAAGGGAGGGAGGGGGAGAGGGGAGGGGTAGAGGGAGGGTGGGAGGTAGAGATGGTGCTTCAGGGGCTGGTGGGAATGGGGAGATGGATTGGGTGTTCAACCTGGATGGCGCCTGTCTCTCTACAACGGCTACAGGTGACCATGAAAGGGGTAGTACATGTGGGAGAATGAGTTTGGGGGAGTGCGTGTGGAAGAGAGTGTGTGTGGGGAGTTGAAGAGAGGTTGGGAGCTAGCAATGGTGCTTCGGGGGTTGGTGGGAATGGATGGATTGGGTGTTCAACCTGGATGGCGCTATTTCTCTCTATAACAGCTACAGGTGACTCTGAGACGGAGAGTGCGTGTGGGAGAATGAGTGCGGGAGAGGGTGAAGGAGGGTGGAGCTAGCGAAGGTGTTTCAGGGGCTGGTGGAAAGGGAGAGATGAATTGGGTCCTCAACCTGGATGGCGCTGTTTCTCTCTTTCGACAGCTACAGGTGACTCTGATGGGGTTTGTGTGTGCGGGAGTGGGCGTTTGAGGGAGGGAGGGAGGGAGGGGCATGTGTGTTTGTGTGTGTGTGAACGGGGGGCACATCTGTGAAGTGTGTGTGGTGGGGGGTGACACGCTTGCGTGTGGGGGGGACCATGTGCGTGTTTCTGTGTGTCCACCCATGCTTTTTCGTGTGTGTGAGCATGTTTGACAGAGCAAGAGCTAGGGGCTGGGGGGCAGAACCAGTGAGGGAGGTTGGAAGAGAGCGACGTGACTTTTGAGTCGACTCGAAAGTCACCTCGTGTGTGTGAGCATGTTTGACAGAGCAAGAGCTAGGGGCTGTGAGGGAGGTTGGAAGGGAGCGAGGGAGGGAAAGAGCAAGAGGCAAATAGCATGGCAATCTCGCAGCGATCATGCTTCATTGGAAGAAAAAAAAGGGGGAAGAAAGAAGGGGCCCTTAGTAATGCTCCTGTTTCCATAGTATTATCATGTCTCATGCTTTTGATTGCATGCTCTTGTGGGGTGTGGCACGGCATGGCATGGCATGGCATGGCATGGTGTGGTGTGACAGGGAAACGGATCTGTTACCTTTTGTGAAAAACCTGTGCAACGGGCCACATGAGGAGCAGCAACTCCCTTTACAAGCACCTCCTCTGCAGTCGCATCTGTTACAATCACAAGTAGAGAGGCATCCGGAGCCCAAGTTTGTGAAGCAAGGAGCGGGTGAGGGAGTGAAGTGGGGAGTGGTGCAGAAGCCTCGGCACCAACCCATGCAGACCCAGGCACAGCAAGTTCAGCAACAGCAGCAGCAGCAGCATCAGCTAGAGCAGGAGGGGGGGATACTTTCTGAGAAGCAGCGATGTGGTTGCACACAGGTGCATTTCGTGAAAGGGGAGAGGAGCGGCGTGTGGAAAGCAAAGTGCCTTGCTGACCTGGAGGCAGCTGTTGCTGAGTCATTGAAGTGCGAAGACGAGAGCTTGGATTCGCTGGGCGATGAGGGTGGAAAGAAGGGATGCCGAGCACATTTGCATGTCTTGAAGGGAGCCGGGCATTGGGTGCATGTGGACAATCCAACGGGATTGGTAGAGTTGATGGAAAAACACTTGAGAGAGGTTTCTGTTTAGGATTTTTTGCATTTTGTTTGCGAAGGAATTGGAATAGAATAATTAGGACAGTACATAGGTTAGCATTCATTCTTGCAGATTATCTGCACTATTTTATTGAAACCTACGCAATTGTCCCACTGTGTACTCGCTATTATCTCCCCGCTCCCGCTCCCCCTTCGCCTCGCACACTCTTCCCCCCATCCCCGAAATCCTTTCCGCCCCCGTCCCCACCCTGCACCACTCCGACGCCCCATGCGCGACCAAGACAGTCGCAGCATTCGCGCAGTAACACCTATCGCCGATTAGAGGCACACATACCCCACGCCTCATCCTACCCGTTCATTTCCGCCCGTCGCATCGCCGCCTTTCCCGCTCGCCTCGTCCCACCCGTCCTAACACCACGTCATCCTCCTCGCGTGTTTTAGCAACCCGATCTCCCTGCTTCGATATGGCGTGTCCCGGTGCGCGACGCGAGGGACTGAGGTTCTTGCGATCGATCTACGATGTCGGCGTCGTCGCCGCGTCGCGCGCTCCCGTGACTCACGGCGCGGCTGCCGCCGCAGCGATGCCGATGGCACAGCAGGTGGTCGGCGGGTGAGTCTCTCCTGCCGGTCGGTTCATACCGGCAGGTGGGTCACTTTGCCGGTCGGTAATAGCCGGCGGGTGAGTCGCTCCTGCCGGTCAGTCATCTCCGATCAGGATGATCAGATCCGATCCGTTGGTTGTTTGCCGTGAATCGCGGCGTTGATGCCGCTCAGCTGATCGCGCCGCTTATCCGCCGTTGACGGCACTTCAGGCGGTCAGCGAGTGGGCTATGTATGTAAACTACGTGTCAATACGCTAGTTAAAGCCGTTTTACTGGAGTTCGCATAGCGTCAGAGCACGTTAGGGTTCCTCGTATCTGTTAGGAGGTGACGTAACTCCACGTCATCGTCTTGATGCCATCATCCGAGGTGTGACGTCAGCCGTACGCGTGCAGTACAGGCATCGAAGGAGCGGACGATGACGTCACAGCAGATTTGTACGCAGGTGCTCTTGAGAATTCTCACAAGGTACGCGATGACTCTAAAGATAACCCGATGCCGAGTAGTAGCACGGGTAGTAAGAGGTTATAACGAGGACAGGGCTAAGTGGCTGAGGGTCGAGCAGATCTGCGACGTGCACACTTAGATCAAGCTCGTCGGTATCGCACACGTCGTCACTCGCCAGTCGCCAGTCGCCAGTCGCCTGTCGCACAACTCGGTCGATCTTCCCGCGATGTGCAGCAAGGGAAGGAACTCTTACACACGGCAGGTCGGTTTTCTCGAATGCGCTCGTTTAGACCCCTGACACACCAAGGGATCTGCTGGCGCACGCAGCTGTGTCAGATGCATTCTGTTAGTCGCAGCTGTGTCAGATGCATTCTGTTAGTCGCAGCTCTCACCAATGCATAGCTTGCTTGTAGTCTGCGCCACGCAAGTTTTCGCGATCGCGCAGTGCGGATTTAATTTCGCTAGACCGTGCGTCGGCTGACTCAGCTTCTTTGCATAAGCTGCTTATGACGAGCGCGAGTATAAGCGATTAACGAGTTCGGTATCCTTCCATTCATCCTATCAGCCGTTCCATTCCTCTCACCCCTCTCCCTTCTCGCTCCGTTCTTGACGCTTCTCATCCTCTATGCAATACTTCTCACGCGTTCTACCCGATTGAGATGACCCCGAACTCGGTTTACTATCTGATCGTTTCACCCGGCTCGTCCCGCCTCCGCCTCTCCCCGCGTCCTCCGCTCCTTCCGCCCTCCCGTGCAGTGACATCGCCCCTGCTGGCGCGCGCTTCGCTTCGCAGCTCGCAGGTATGCGTTACAGCTCGCAGGTATGCGTTACAGCTCGCAGGTATGCGTTACAGCTCGCAGGTATGCGTTACAGCTCGCAGGTATGCGTTACAGCTCGCAGGTATGCGTCGCAGCTCGCAGGTATGCGTTACAGCTCGGAGGTATGCGTTACAGCTCGCAGATACGCGTTACGTCTCGCAGGTACGCGTTACAGCTCGCAGATACGCGCGTTGCAGCCTTCAGTTTTGAATTTACTAAACGAAAGTACAACACATGATATTTTCAACACAGTCTTGTCTCTTGCCTCTGTTTCCCTCCCCGTTCCCCCCTCCAGTGCGCAACCGCATGAAGGCGGTGCCCTGCATTCAGCCTCCACCTACCTCCCCATTTTTCGTTTCCTTTTCCCTTCCCACCCCCCTCGCTCCTCCAATCCTCCAGTGCGCAATTGCATGAAGTCGGTGCGGAGCACTCAGAAGATCACCAAGGCAGTGAAGATGCTGGCTCATCCTTCAACCCTGTTACCCTGCTATGTCCCCAACCCTCCGCTCTCCAGTGCGCAATTGCATGAAGTCGGTGCGGAGCACTCAGAAGATCACTACGGCGATGAATGGTGGTTGATTCGTCTACCCCTCATCCCTCTCCACCACTCTCCGCCTCTTCCCATCCCCTAGCACCCTCTCCCCCACCCTCTCAGTGCGCAATCGCATGAAGTCAGTGCGGAGCATCCAGAAGATCACCAAGGCCATGAATATGGTGGCTCATCCTTCAACCCCTCTCCACCTCTCCACCTATCTCCCCATCTCCCGTTACCTTCCCCAACCCCTCTCTCCAGTGCGCAACCGCATGAAGTCGGTGCGCAGCATTCAGAAGATCACCAAGGTAATGAAGATAATGGCGGCATCCAAGCCTGTTACCCCCCCACCCTCTTCCCCCCCACCCTCTTCCCCCAACCCCACTTGCCTCCTGTATTTTTCAGTGCGCAACCGCATGAAGTCGGTGCGCAGCATTCAGAAGATCACCAAGGCAATGAAGATGGTGGCAGCGTCTAAGCTGAGGGGCGTGCAGGGCAAGACGGAGCAGAGCCGCGGCATGTGGCAGCCCTTCACTGCCCTGCTTGGCGACAACCCCAGTGAGTGATTCGACACCTTAAGAGGCGAGGACCAGAGAGTGCGGGGTGACAGAGGGGCGGGGAGCTGAGGGGCGTGCAGGGCAAGACGGAGCAGAGCCGCGGCGTGTGGCAGCCCTTCACTGCTCTCCTTGGAGACAACCCCAGTGAGTGCAGGGGGCTTGGAGTGAGTGATCTGGTCTGTGCTCTATGCGCTGCCCTGCATGTGAGGAAGCAGCGAGGCGGCGTCTAAGCTGAGGGGCGTGCAGTGCAGGGCAAGACGGAGCAGAGCCGCGGCATGTGGCAGCCCTTCACCGCCCTGCTTGGCGACAACCCCAGTGAGTCTGGGTGTATGTATGGGAATCGGCTTGATGGGGCTGGCTTGATGGGGCTGGCTTGATGGGGCCTCTGTATATTCCCTTCCTTGCATCTGTGAGACCTGGAAGTGATGAGCTGGAAGTGATGGGCATGCGACGCACCGTTTTGCCTGTGTTGACGCAAAAGGTTGACGCTTTTTTATGTGTCAACCTGCCCGGAACCAAAAAAAAAAAAACCCTCTAGGGCAGGCATGCCTTCATGGGCGGCATCAACCCTAAACACCATGCATCCCCATGCAGTTTTTTTTTTTTTTTTTTTTTTGCCCCGGGCACGAGTTAGGGTGGGCGGACTCGTTTGTCAGTTGAGTTGAGCTATATGAAGAGAAATGGGGGTTCGTGTGGCGGCATCAATCCTCCCTCCTCCCCACCCTTCCTGCCCTTTTTTCTTCCCAACCCCCAGCCCTGGTGGCTCCTCGCACGCTGATAATCACTGTGTCAACGGACAGGGGGCTGTGTGGCGGCATCAACTCCACTGTCGTGAAGCACAGCCGTGCAGTCTCCGCCATCTCTGCGCCCTGTGAGTGCTGCTCGCTGCTGCCCCTGTCAGTCCTGCTGCTGACCCTGTGACTGCTGCTGCTACACAGGCCACACTCACTAGGTGTGCGTGCATAGCACCATGGCATGGGGGGCACACCTGTCAACGGAAAGACAGGGGCCTCTGTGTGGAGGCATCAACTCCACTGTCGTGAAGCACAGCCGCGCCGTCAATGCCATCTCTGCGCCCTGTGAGTGCTCACTCCCCCCCTCCCTGTGCCTGCTGCTCCCTGCTACAAGTGCCGCTCTCACTAGTTGTGCGTGCGTAGCACCTCGGCCACATCTATCAACGGACAGGGGGCTGTGTGGAGGCATCAACTCCACTGTCGTGAAGCACAGACGCGCCGTCTCTGTCGTTTCCGCCCCCTGTGAGTGCTGCTGCTGCCGCCGTCCCCTGAGAATGCTCTTTCTACAGGCGCGCTTGTGTGGAAGCCGTATGTGCGCTGTACTCACTTCCAAGGTTGAAATCACTTTTGAGAATTCTCAGAAGTGATTTGAACATGGAGGCATATGTGTGCTGTACTCTCTTCTAAGGTTAAGGTTGTGGAGCAGCCATCAACAGAATGGCCCCTCCGCTTCCCCCCCCCCTCCCGGTTCGCTCCGCTCCGCTCCTCCATCCCTTCTCGTGACGACCAACAATGCAGTGTTTTGGATTCCGTTGGACAATAAGTGTTTGTTTTTCTGCCGGGGACAGCAATGCTGCAGCTGCAGAGGAGGATGGTATATTCTGTGTGCTCATTCTCCCCCTTCCTCACCCCCTTCCCCTCTCTCCTCCCCCCCCTCCCGTTTCCCTCCTACCAGCGGAGGACACGAAGTCGGTGTTTGTGATTCTGTGCGAGGAGAAGCTGCAGTTGCAGAGGGGTTGAATGAGGACAAGGCATTTTATCCCCCACTTCCCCTCCCTCCTGCCCACCCCGTCCCTCTTATCTCCTACCAGCGGAGGACACGAAGTCGGTGTTTGTGATTCTGGGCGAGGAGAAGCTGCAGTTGCAGAGGGGTTGAATGAGGACAAGGCATTTTATCCCCCACTTCCCCTCCCTCCTGCCCACCCCGTCCCTCTTATCTCCTACCAGCGGAGGACACGAAGTCGGTGTTTGTGATTCTGGGCGAGAAGGAGAAGCTGCAGCTGCGGAGGACAAGACAATTTTCATCCGCTTTCCACTCCCCTCCCCACCCCGTCCCTCTTATCTCCCAGCAGCGGAGGAGAGCAAGTCGGTGTTTGTGATTCTGGGCGAGAAGGCGAAGCTGCAGCTGCAGAGGGAATGAGGTAAAGACGTTTGCATCCCGTGTCCTTCCCCCCCCCCCACCCCCCCGCCCCCCCTCCATTTCCCCCACTAGCGGCGGAGGAGAACAAGTCGGTGTTTGTGATTCTGGGCGAGAAGGCGAAGCTGCAGCTGCAGCGAGATTCGAACAACACCATTGTGATGACCGTTGCTGACACGCAGAAGCAGGGCATCAACTTCACGCAGGTGAGGGATGCAGAGTGGTGCAAAGCGGTGCACAAGCAGTGTGGATTGGTGCAGTGCAGTGCAGAGTGGTGTTAAGAGGTAAGAAGGGCACCCAGAGAGATGAAGCTGCAGCTGCAGCGTGACTCGAACAATACAATTGTCATGACTGTTGCTGACACGCAGAAGCAGGGCATCAACTTCACGCAGGTGAGGGGCGGTGCAAAACAGTGCAGGACGGCACTGATTAGTTCAGAATGGTGTCGAGAGGTAGGGAGGGACGCCAGGGGGGGGAGGTGAAGCTGCAGAGGGACTCGAACAATACAATTGTCATGACTGTTGCTGACACGCAGAAGCAGGGCATCAACTTCATGCAGGTGAGGGGTGCAGAGTGGTGTCAAGAGGTAAGGAGTGGTGACAATGAGGCGAAGCTGCGGCCGCAGAGAGACACTTCCAACACCATTGTTATTATGACTGTTGCCGACTCGCAGAAGCAGGGTGACTTTTGAGTCGACTTAAAAGTCACCTCGACTCGAAAGTCACTTCCAACACCATTGTTATGACTGTTGCCGACTCCCAGAAGCAGGGGATCAACTTCACGCAGGTGAGTGACGCAGAGCGTGGAGTTTGGCACCCCTTTCCCCCATGGGGCCCCACAACCAACCTTTGTTTGCATCAAATCCCACCATCTCCGTTGCGCCCCACCACCATCCCAAGACGTCCATGATAGTGTATGCGATTCCCAAGAATGCTAAGTTTGTCACGGCGCAATAAGAGTTAATTTTTTAGACGTCTCAAAAATCCACCACCATCCCGAGACGTCCATGATAGTGTATGCGATTCCCAAGAATGCTAAGTTTGTCACGGCGCAATAAGAGTTAATTTTTTAGACGTCTCAAAAATCCACCACCATCCCGAGACGTCCATGATAGTGTATGAGATTCCCAAGAATGGTGAGTTTGTCACGGCGCACGCGCGTCATCCTGTGACCTACCTCAACCCACCTTCCTATGCACCCAACCCAACCCATCGCAACCCAACCCCATCATTCCTCCCCCTCCCCTCCAGACGTCCATGATAGTGGATGAGATCCTCAAGAACGTGGAGTTTGATACCGCCCGCATCATCTTGTGACCCCCCTGCTGTCATCTCGTCTCGTCTCATCACCATTACCACCCGCATCACCCATCCCGCACTCTCCTCCCCCAGACGTCCATGATAGTGGATGAGATCCTCAAGGACGTGGAGTTTGACACGGCGCGCATCATCTACAACCGCTTCAACCCACCCTTTTGTACACCCACCAACCCCATGACTCCCATTGCCGCCCCCCCCACCCCACCCCACCCCCAGACGTCCATGATAGTGGATGAGATCCTGAAGAACGTGGAGTTCGATACCGCCCGCATCATCTATAACCGCTTCAACTCCGTGGTCGCCTTTGTGCCCACCGTCTCCACCGTGCTCTCGCCCGAGGTGAGGGGAGGTGTGTGGGGAGGTGTGTGGGGAGATGACAGGTGTGATGCACTCACCACATCATCTACAACCGCTTCAACTCCGTTGTGGCATTCCAGCCGAATGTTTCCACCGATCTATTGCCTGAGGTAGGTGGAGGTGTGGCGGGGTGCTGTGCGGTGTGCAGAGGTGTGGTGGGGTATGGTGGGGTGTATTGGATGAAAGAAGGTGGGCTGCGCGCACCGCATCATCTACAACCAGCCACTTCAACTCCATTGTTGCCTTTGTACCCTCTGTTTCCACTGCTCTCTCGCCCGAGATACGAAGGGTGAGCTGTGGCGGGGTGGGGTCTGGCAGGGTGCTATGGGGTGTAGGAAGGTGTGGTGAGGTCCTGTGAGATGTGGGGAGGTGTGGAGTATGAGATCAGAGGGCGGGGGATTGGCAGGAGGAGGCGGGGAGGGGCAGGGGTTTAGGATAAGGCCCGCACATTCCTATGTGCGAGGAGGGGCAGGGGTTCATGAAATGTGCCTCCTTTCATGTTATGTTATTCATCCATCCCCTTGTCGTCCATCCCTCCCCCCACCAGACTCTGCTCAAGGAGGCAGCGGAGGGTGGCAGTGCGAGCCAGCTGGCAGAGTATGAGATCGAGGGCGAGGAGGGGCAGGCAGAGGCAAGTGCTTTCCGCTCATCATCGTTCCATCCCCCGTTTCCCCATCTCCCCCCACCAGACTCTCATGAAGGAGGCAGCGGAGGGTGGCTGTGCGAGCCAGCTGGCAGAGTACGAGATCGAGGGCGAGGAGGGGCAGGAGGACGAGAAGCGAGTGCTTTATTTTCCCCTTCTTCCAACCCCCCTTTCCCATCCTTTTGTGCTCCCATCTCCCCCCCCCCCAGACTCTCCTCAAGGAGGCAGCAGAGGGCGGCAGTGCGAGCCAGCTGGCGGAGTATGAGATCGAGGGCGAGGAGGGCCAGGAGGAGCTCTTCCAGAACCTCTCTGAGTTCCAGCTCGCGTCGGTGAGTGGGGTGGGTGGAGTGTGGTAGAGTGTGGTGGAGTGTGGTGGAGAGTGTGCGTGAGGGTGAGTAGAGCATGTCTGTAGAGGCTTTGATAACATGGAGGGGCAGGAGGAGCTCTTCCAGAACCTCTCTGAGTTCCAGCTCGCGTCGGTGAGTGTTATGGGCTGGGTGGGTGGGTGGGTGGGTGGGATAGCGGGCTTGTATGGTGAGATGTGGGCCAGGACTTTGCTTCACTAGCATGGAGGAGGGACAGGAGGAGCCCCTCCCTCTGTGCCCATCTCTTCCCTTCACCCCCAGACGCTGTACAATGCACGGTTGGAGAATGCGTGCAGTCAGCAGGCAGCATACGTGTCAGCCATGGACAACTCCCCTCCCTTGTTCCCTTTGCCCCGATCCCACGGCCCACCCGGAGGCTGTACAATGCGCAGCTGAATTTTGAGTCGACTCAAAAGCCAATTCCACGGCCCAACCAGAGGCTGTACAACGCGCAGCTGGAGAACGCGTGCAGTGAGCAGGGAGCGCGCATGTCCGCAATGGACAACTCCTCCCTTTCCTTTCTGTCCCTATTTCCATGCTCCCCTTGTGTTGCATTATTCGTCTCACACACAGACGCTCTACAACACGCAGCTGGAGAACGCGTGCAGTGAGCAGGGAGCGCGCATGTCAGCTGGACAACTCCCTTCCTCCTCTTGTTCCCCCTTGGCCTGACCTGACCCCCTGCCCTCATCCTCCCAGACGCTCTACAACGCGCAGCTGGAGAACGCGTGCAGTGAGCAGGGCGCGCGCATGTCAGCCATGGACAACTCCTCCCGCAATGCCTCCGACATGCTTGGCCGCCTCACCCTCTCCTACAACAGGTGTGTTACTTACATTCATGCTTAGGGTTAATGCATTCCATTCAGATATGTGCAAACAGGTGATTCCTGCGCTTCTAAGTGTCCCTTGTACCTATGATTTATGTGATGTAGGTTTTGCCTAGTGGGTTTGTATCTTCACGCCCCCCCCCCCCCCCCACCACCTCTCTCGACGTGCATGTCTCGCCAGGCCACCATCACCACGGAGCTTATCGAGATTGTTGCGGTTCTGGAGGGCTAGGGCCATTGTTGTAATTGCATTTGCTTTAAATGCATGTGGATTTACTCTCCGCCTCCCCCCTCCCTTCCCGACTCTCCGCGTGCAGGTCTCGCCAGGCCACCATCACCACGGAGCTTATCGAGATTATTTCTGGTGCTGCGGCCCTGGAGGGCTAAGGCCAATGCTGTAAGTGCACATGCCTTTACTGCCGGTCGCTTAACCATCTGTTGACATTGACTGGCCTAACATTGACATTACCTGTTTCCCCAGGTCGTTACCGATTTGTGGTATTATTGTGACTGTACGTTGGCATAGGCATTGAATCAATTGTTAGGTTTTGTAAGTGGCATATGGTAGGCGTAACGAATCTATGTTTTTTTCTACTTGTTAAAACCAGGGTGCACATTCAACGCGGTTCGGCTTGAGATGTTGGGAAGGGGGTTTGGAGAAAAACAGTGATTGGCTCACGAGGGGCGACAAAAAAATGATTCCGCTAGAGCTTCGGGCATTTCGTAGGTGGCGGGAGGGGGTGAAATGGCAAGTGTGGGTGAAACCGAATGGCGGGAGGGATGAAACAGATTGGCGGGAGGGGGGGGAAACGAAATTGCGGGGGAGGGGGGAAACAAAATTGCGGGGGAGGGGGGAAACGAATTTCGACGGGGAGGGGGAAATGAAATTGCGGGGGCGTGGGGAAACGAAATTGCGGGGGAGGGGGGAAACGAATTTCGACTCGAAGGGGTTGAAAGCACACCTCGTAACCCACTCAGTCAAGGGATAACCTTTGATGCACATTCAGCTGAATGTGCACCCCGGTTTTAAATGAAAATTTCCGTGTCACAAAACTCTGGTCCAATGCTGAGTACAGTAGAATCACGATATGGGAGGAGTTGGGTGCAATAGCAGTGGCCTTACATATCAGATCCGATCCAAAGTTTTTCATATTTAACAAAGTCTCTGTAAGTAACGATAATGGCGTCTACGTTAAAAATATCGAACTTGCCACAGCGAATTTCAACTACCATCTCCCGTCCCGCACCTTTTGACTAGGCCTGCTTTATCTATCCCCGCCAAACCTAAGCGGTGATGTTCGTTCAAAACCAAACCAAACCGCTCCTTGCGTCAAGACAACCGTTTTGAAACGCAGACAAGTCGTTTGAACCGCACCAAGTAAACTCTTTCATCGCCATTCGCCTGGTCTGCACTACACTCCAGAGCATCCACTTTCGCCAGGCTGATCACAGGCACCTTACTCTACTACCTAACTACTTCCGCCTAATTAGGAACCTGTCTTATTACTCGGGTGCTAAAGTATGGCGATCCCACATACTCAACTTCAGCTAGCGCACCCGCGGTAGTGACTCCCGGGGCCGCAATGCCGTGCTTCCCGCTTTCTGTCTTGACGTGTGGCAACAGCTAGCACTGACCCTCTCCCATCCTCCGACTTGGTATCGCTGGTTCTGGTTTAAAGATTCCCGGTTCTGGTTCATAAATGCAGGTTTCGTTTTCCCGCACCCGTCGCTCCGAGAGAAACGTGCTTCACGGAGTAATCAGCTCTGAGAATTGACAGACTCGACCAGTGTGCTTCAAAGGTCAATTCGTTAGTATTTTCTTCTTCTTCCTCTTATAATCCAGCACGTATATCCGTACCCCTGACGGCATTTACTGACTAGAGCACGAGCATTTGCCGCACAATGCGGCCGCCATGGCTAGGATCCTCCCCCCCCGCCGGCGCCGGCAGTCCGTTCAGCACCTCCAGCCCCAGCAACGTGATCCTAACCACCGGAAGACACGGCGGGTCTAACGGCGGGTTTGGCGGCGGGCTGTTTAACTCCCTGTGGGCGTACGCGCGGCCCGGGCGATGGTGGCTCGCGATATTAATAATCTGCGCGTTTCAAGGGGTCTTACTATGGCACTGGTCGAATACCTCCTCTATAGTCTTTTCCGATCAGAAAAGCGCATCCGGCGCCGCAATTGGCGGGAAAGGAGGGTCGCTGAACAGGCAAAGACTAGGCGATGCTGCCGCGGCCGCCGCCGCCGCTTCCGCGTTCCGACGCCACCTAATCATTGAATCGCAGGAGCAGGCTCAGGACGTATCTAATCTCCGGTCGCTACCCTTTAACCCCACGACCGCGTCGCTCTCCGCGGCCGCTTTAGAGGAATTAGTTCGCAAAGTGGCGGAGAACGTGTCGCAGCGCATCGAGTCGCACGAGGCGGTGCTAGTTAATCTGGGAATTAAGTTGCTCAACAGAGAGCAGCAGCTGTCTAATATCGATCAAGTAATCGCAGCGCTCGGGAAAATACCTCCGGAAACTATTAAAGCGGTCTTACAAGCACAGCTCGATATAAAGCAGCAGCAGGCGGCGGAAAGGGAAGGGGGAAGGGGAGAAGGAGGAGCAGGAGCAGGCGGAAGGCAAGGCGGAAGCGGACAAGCGGAAGCAGGGGGCGCGGGGAGCGGGCCAGGGGGAGGCGCGGAGGGGGAAGCATGGGGGGAACTCCCGGAGCCCATTCCCCCTCCGCCCAAGCCGTGCAAGCGACAAAAAGACCTGGGGCGGTCGGGGGGAAAGATCGTCTGGCGGGTAGACGGGGGGGAGGCGGAGGGGGAGGAGCGCCCGCGGAAATACCTCCTAGCTATGTGCTCCGGAGGGCAATTAAGCAACCGCATTTCGTGCCTAAGGCAGCATTTCTTAGACGCGGCGCTGCTGAATCGCACGCTGGTGTTCCCATCGCACGGGCCTGGAGTGGACTATGACTATGAGCGGCTGTTGGATATGGAGGCGCCGAGAAGGTGCTTTGGTAACCACACGTTTCTTACCCTCGATGAATACGCTGCCATTCAGGAAGCAAAGGTGGGTGACTGCAGGAGGGTTGGGAGCGGTGGGAAGGTTTGCAAGAGGCGGCTGTGCTGGTGAGGTGAGTGTCTTGCTGGTGTGTTCCCATCGCATGGGCCCGGGGTGGACTATGGCTATGAGCGGCTGTTGGATATGGAGGCGCCCAGAAGGTGCTTTGGCAACCACACGTTCCTGACGCTGGATGAATACGCTGCCATTCAGGAGGCCAAGGTGGGTACCGTAGGGCGTCCCAGGGTTGGGAGTGGTGGGAAGGTGTGCAAAGGTTGGGAGCAGTGGGAAGGTGCGCAGAGGTTTTCCGGCTGGTGTGGCTATGAGCGGCTGTTGGATATGGAGGCGCCCAGACGGTGCTTTGGCAACCAGACGTTCCTCACTCTCGGCGAATACGCTGCTATCCAGGAAGCTAAGGTGGGTAAATATGGGGGAGTGTGCCAGGGTTGGGAGCGGTGGGAAGGCTTGCCAGGGTTGGGAGAGGTGGGATTGTGGGATGGTGTGCAGAGGTTGAGAGAGGTGGGATGGTGTACCATGGTCAGGAGCGGTGGGATGGTGTGCAAAGGGTGGTGACCTGCAGGGGGCGCACGCTGCTCCCCAGGGCGCCGCGATTGACGGGAGGGGGGGCGCGCGTGGCCTGCAGGGCGACGCGACGAGACGGGCGGGGGCTGTGCGCGGGTCCCCACAGCAGAAAACCGCCGCGCGCCCCGAGCGCACGGCGGGATGAAGAAACCCTAAAAATTTTCCGCGGGAAGAAGATGTCGCGCGCCCGAGGCGCGCGAGAAGTAGAACAGCAGCGGAAGCAGTTAGGTGGCGGGCCCACCCACAGGATCGACCAAAGGGGGTCCACCTGCTCTGAAACCATGTCAGAATGAACAAGAGTGCAAAAGAAGAATGATGAAAGAGGGGTTTCACTAGCAGCAGTTGGGATACATATAGCAAACCCTAACTGGGTTGTACTCGCTATAGAACACCCCACTACAGGCTAGATAATAACATTCTGACATGACGGTGGCGGATGACGGGGGATGACGGATGGATGAGTAGATTATGCTTATCAGAGCCCTGGTAAAGAAGCGCCTCAGATTGAGAAACGGTACTCAGGTTTAATGTGTGGACTATGACTGTGGCTATGACCATGGCTATGACCATGGCTATGACTATGACCATGACTATGGCTATGACCATGACTATGGCTATGACCATGACTATGACTATGACCATGACTATGGCTATGACCATGACCATGACTATGACCATGGACTATGACCATGGACTATGACTATGACCATGACTATGACTATGACCATGACTATGACCATGACCATGACTATGACCATGACTATGGCTATGACTATGAGCATTGCAGAACCCTAAGAGGAGAAGAACGCGGCTATGATTGTGGTGGATTTCTTTTGATGCCACGTGCATTCTGAGTCCCCTCAGAGAATAGAATACCCTTTTTCCATGCGCCCTGTTGCATGGCAGAACCCAGGCGGGTAAATAACGCACTTGTGATGCCGGTGGATGTGTTTATATGCCACGTGCAATTTGCATCCATTCAGACACCGTTTTCTCCTGTGCTGTGCTCTGTTGCATGGCAGAACCCCAAGAGGAGGAAGAGCGCACCTGTGATGGTGGTTGACGTGTTCATATGCCACGTGCACCACTACCAGACGGAGAGAGAGTGCGGTTACATCCGACAACGGTGAGTAAGAGATGCTCATGCACACTCATGCATGCTGCGTGCACATGGGCATGCTGCGTGCACATGGGCATGCTAGAGGTGATGGTGGTGGACGTGTTCATATGCCACATGCACCACTACCAGACAGAGAGGGAGTGCGGGTACATCAGGCAACGGTGAGAGATGCATGCACATGCACAGGCACATGCACATGCACATGCACAAGCACATGCACAGGCCCATGCACATTCACATGCACTCCACATGCACTCCACATGCACATGCACATGCACATGCACATGCACATGCACTCCACATGCACATGCACTCCACATGCACATGCACTCCACATGCACTCCACGTGCACTCCATGTGCACATGCACATGCACATGCACACGCACATGCACATGCACACGCACATGCACATGCACACGCACATGCACATGCACATGCACACGCACATGCACATGCACATGCACACGCACACGCACATGCACATGCACATGCACATGCACACGCACATGCACATGCACATGCACATGCACATCCTCTCAAAAGCAATCATCTTCTTCTTCAAATTCCACCAACCCATCGTCGTCTTCAGTTCAGGAACCTGCCCCTCTCGTCTCAACCCGCCTCCTCCTTCCCCGCAGCTACCAGCAGTTGCACATCCACTTTGCTAAAACGGTCATCCCGGAGAAGCGCACCCCAAGCCCCTGGTTCAAGTACCCCCCCAAGGAGTTCATGTCCCTCTTCACCTACCATCTCCCTCCCCTCACCCCTGCAGGTATCAGCAACTGCACATCCACTTTGCTAAAACGGTCATCCCGGAGAAGCGCACCCCAAGCCCCTGGTTCAAGTACCCCTCTAAGGAGTTCATCTCCCTCTTTAACTATGCCGATTCGGTCATCGCCTTCGGCAACATGTTCGGCGTGAGCGGGCAGGATTTGCGTTTTCACCATGCCCGCCCGCTCGTGGTTCTGCCGGGATGCAAATATTACATCATGCCCTCACCCATGGTTCGCCAGGCCGCTGCTGGGTTTATCAACTCCTACCTCGGCAGCAGCACCAGCAGCAGCAGCAGCAGCAGTGATAGTAGCAATGCAGGTGATGCTGCTGGTGGGGGTGTTCGGGCTGCTGGTGATGGTGGTGCTGGTGGCACCGGTGGTGGTGGCTTCATGGCATTGCACATGAGACGAGGCGATTTCTACCAGCATTGCGTCAACATGAAGGGCCATTCCATGTTCGCCTGCTACCACCCGATCCGCCAGCTGGCGGCCTGTGTGGCGCGGCGATTGGACGAGAATCCAGGCGTGCGGGCGATTTATCTTTCAACCAATGGGGATGATGATGAGGTGAGGATGTTTCGTGAGTTTCTCGCGTTTGAACGGGCCAGGCCGCGGAAATATGTTGTCAATGGGACGACGGAGGATGGACGTGTGGGGAGCGTGGTTCGGGTGCGTGGGGGGCGCTTGGGCCTGTTTTCTTCCGAGCCTGTCCCGGTGGTTCGGATGTCGATTAAGAGCCTGGAGACGCAGCCTTGGGCCGAGCCTCTGGTGCAGGCTGGGGCGCATAATGACAGTGTGGTGATTTCGTATGTGGAGAAGGCGGTTTGTGTGATGTCGAATGTGTTTTTTGGTACGTACGGGTCGACTTTTACAGGGGATATTGTGCGGCTACGGGATTGGCTGTTCTTAAATAGCTGTAACGATGGGATGATATGCCCGGAAACAGACCAGGCGGAGCTTATAACGCCCTTTGAGAGCTAGGACGTGTTTGCTAGTGGAAAGCTTACACATGTGCACGTGTTTTTCTAACACATGATTTGTATCTAACAGCAGAAAAGCTACACATGTGCACCTTCGTTTGATATGATTCTGTAAAAAATGCTCGAGTATACCTTCACTCTCATACAATAATGAGTTGTCCAGTGACGAATTTGCTGTACCGAAGGTGCTTTATTCGAATTCCGTGTAGATCACTCCAGACAATTCCTCCCTCGTTTGCATCACATATTTCCAGCTTTGAGTCACCCTTGGTATTACACAAGTTCCCTTACCCCCTAGATTCTGCCGCGCTGGTTCTGTATCGGAATCTACGGTCCAGAGCTACTTTCCCAGAAATCGTCAAGCCAGATCGGACGGCCAGACCAGGGTTTAGGTCGCGTGCGGTCGCGTGTGTTTCGCGCCTCCACGTGTAGCGGTTGATGAAAGCTCTCGTGCCTGCATTCTAGGTCGCAATCTCGCGTAGCTGCTACTTATCGGTGTGCACGGTACCAGCTGTTCTCGGTGCTGTATAATTTCGGTGCTGATCTGTACGATCGCTATCGTGTTTGACGAATTCGCAGTCATGGTGACTCGCATACACCGAAGTCTGTGCGATTTCCGAGCGAACTGAACCATCTTTTATGTAACACGCTTTCGTCGCCGCCGTTTCGTCGCCAATCGCTTAGTTGACTATTCGCCTCCAGGTCGCACTGTCTGCTGTAAATCGACGCTGACACAAGGCGCCTCTGTTCAGGCCACATACTCGAATCTTTACTATTGATAAGTGATTCTTCATGTTTTGATAAGCGGAAGTCACAGCGCGGATTTCGACCATGGATCTAGACGGAATGATCAGCGGAGGGGGAAGGGGAAGCCGCGGGGGAGGCGGTCGGGGGGGCTACGGCGGAAGAGGGGGAAGAGGCGGAGGCGGAAGGGGAAGAGGCGTGTGCAGATTCTGGCTTGAGGGTAACTGTAGGAAAGGTGATAGTTGCGACTACTTACATACTGATTCATCTGGCGGGGGTGGCGGGTTCGGCGGAGGTGGTCGGGGATTCAGCGGCGGAGGGGGAAGAGGCGGAGGCGGAAACAGGGGGGGTGGGGCTGGCTGGGGGGGGCAGGGGTGGGGGGGAGGGGGAGGAGGCGGCGACGGGGGAGGGGGGACTGTTTTGGGCAGGCGGAATGCGGACAGTCAGGGGGATGGCGGAGGGTTTGGTGGAGAGCGGTGGGGGAGGCAAAGAGTAGGCGGAAGAAGCGGGGAGGGCGTGAGGGCGCGGCTTGGTGACGGGGGAGGCGGAGGCGGAGGGGCAGGCGGAGGGGGAGGCGGAGGGGGAGGGGGGGAGAGGCGCATAGCGAGGCGGAAGGCGTGCAAGTTCTGGCTGGGGGGCAGCTGCAACCGCCATAACTGCATGTTCCTCCACGCCCACACGACGGCTGCTGACGTGGAGATGATGACAGAGCTGACGGGGCATGAGAAGGTGTGTGTGCGTGGGGGAGAGGGGGAGGCTGTGCGTGTGCGTGCGTGTGCGTGCTTGTCTGTGTGAGACAAGGGGGGATTCTACACTGGTTGCTTACCTTAACTATCTCTGGCATCACTACCTACCTACTCCCTCTCTCCTATTCCATCATCTCCCCTCACCCGCATCTCCCCACATATGCGAGCCATAGCTCTATCGGATCGGAGAGACCTTTAGTCCACCAGCCATCAGTCATTCACAGTTGAGGCGAGATGTGCTTTTTTAGAATTCTCAAATAACACATTCAGCCTGAATTCTCAAATAACACATTCAGCCTGAATTCTCAAATAACACATTCAGCCTGAATTCTCAAATAACACATTCAGCCTGAATTCTCAAAAAACACCTTCTGTCCACCGGCCATCATTCAGTCACGGTTGAGGCGAGACCTTCTAGATTCGCAAAAAAAAATTGCTCTCTGTCCCGCTTTCCACTCTCTTCCACCCCCCCCCAAGGTGGTGCGAGCCATAGCTCGACCAGAGAGCCCCTCTCAGCTGTACACATGCAGTCCATAAGTCATGCAGTCCATAAGTCATGCAGTCCATAAGTCATGCAGTCCAGAAGTCATGCACTCCATAAGTCATGCAGTCCATAAGTCATGCAGTCCATAAGTCATGCACTCCATAAGTCATGCAGTCCATAAGTCATGCACTCCATAAGTCATGCAGTCCGTCAGGGCAAGACCTTCTGCATTCCACAATTTTCCTTTGCTCTTGCTGCTTCCTCGCCCTTCATTCCTCCATCTTTCCTCCACCCCTTCAGGTGGTGCGGGCCACAGCTCTATCAAGGAGTACACGGCAGTCAACGAGTCAATGAGTACCAAACCCTTCACATCTTGCGCTTTCTATTCCCTCCTCTCTTCCATCCCCCCCAGGTGGTGCGCGCCATAGCTCTACCGGAGAGCTCCTCTCAGCTGTACACTGGCAGTCAGGACGGGACGATTCGAGTGTGGGACTGCACCTCGGGGCAGGTGCGAATGGATGTGATTAATAGCGTGTGCTGTGAGGCCAGGTGCTGCCAGTTGTGACTAGGTGTGGCCAGGTGCTGCCAGGTGTGACTAGGTGGAGCACAGGGCAGGTAGTGTGTTACTACGGTCCATCCTTGGGGTTTAATGATTCTGCCGTTATGGTGTGTATTTCGTAGTCTCTTTGGTTCCTATGTCGAGTGCCAAATTAGTGGTCTTTATACCGCTATCCCCCCTCCGGCCCACCATTTCAACCCTCCTCCCTCCCTCCCTGCACTCCCTTCTCACCCGGCACTTGCCAGTGCGTGAGTGTGGCGAGCATGGGGGAGTACGTGGGAGCACTCATCACCAACTCTGGGTGGGCCTTTCCATCCCACTGCACCGCACTGCAACCTCTCCTCCTTTCCCATCCCCTCATTAATCCACCTGGCAGTGCGTGAGTGCAGCGAGCATGGGAGGGGACGTGGGGGCGCTCATCACCAACTCTGGGTGGCTCTTTTCCAACTTCTTAACCGCATTCCACCGCTCTTAACTTCTCAAGTCCTCCCTCCCCTCCCTCCCTCCCCACCTTCCCTCTTCCTGCCAGTGTGTGAGTGCAGCGAGCATGGGGGGCGACGTGGGGGCGCTCATCACCAACTCTGGATGACTCTTTCCCTCCTCTGCACCGCACTGTACCCTTGTTAACTTCCCACTTGGTCATTCTTACCCTCCCTTCCCCTCTTCAATCCACCCATCAGTGCGTGAGTGCAGCGAGCATGGGGGGGGACGTGGGAGCACTGATTACCAACTCTGGGTGGCTCTTTGTCGGCCTGCCCAACCTTGTCAAGGTGCAAAACCATGCTGCCATGCCATGCTCTGCTGTTCTACGTGATGCCACGCCATACCACGCCATGCCACGCCATGCCACGCCACGCCACGCCACGCCACACCTTGCCACGCCATGCCATGCCATGCCATCCCATCCCATGCCATGCCATGCCATGCCATGCCTGCCATCCCATGCCTTGCCATGCCATCCCATGCCATCCCATGAGCCATTCACCAACTTTGGTTTTCGGCCTGCCCAACCTCGTCAAAGTGCTATACCATGCCCCTGTGTTTTGCTCTGCTGTTCTATCCCATGCCATACCATGCCATGCACTCGTCACCAACTCTGGGTGTCAAGGTGCTGGCATGGCATATGTATCCATGCTTTCCCTGAACTTCCCCCCCTCGTCCCGCTGTTGCCTGCCATGGGTGCAGTGCAGACGTGGGTGCTGGCGAGTGGGGTGCAGAGCGACTAGCCTGGCCGTACCGTCAGAGCCTCTTTTGAGAATTCTCAAAAGAAAAATTCAAAAGCTATTTCTGAGAATTCTCAAAAGCGACTTGCAGGGCCGTACAGTCAGACCCTCTTGAGCCGTGATGAGCGTTGACGCCCTTGCAACTGTGAACATGCATTCCCTAACTCCCCCGTCCCTCCCTGTTGCGTGTCTGGCTGCTGCAGACGTGGGTGCTGGAGAGTGGGGTGCAGGGCGATCTGCCGGGCCCCACAGGGTCGGTTGGTGCAACGAATGGCATGCAGAGAGCCTCACTGATTGCCCTTGTTCTCTCCGTTCATTCCCTCGGCCTCCCCCCCCCCCCCCCCCCCCCCCCCCCGTCCCTTCATCGTGCCTGCTGTGTCTGCTGCAGACGTGGGTGCTGGCGAGTGGGGTGCAGGGCGATCTGCCGGGCCCTACAGGGTCGGTGCACCAGCTGCTGCTGCACAATGGCATGCTCTTTGCCGCCTGCAGTGTAAGCGCGGTGGGATGGGGTGGGGTTGGGTGGGGTGGGGTATGTTGGAAGTTCTACCCCCCTTCACAGCAGTTTGCACCAATGGTGTCCCTCACAGACCACACAGCTGCAGTGCTGCGCCATGTCTTGCCTTGCCTTGATTGCCTTGCCTTGAATGGCTGGCACTATTCCGTCCCCCCAATCCCTTGGCCCCTTCCTCCCCTCTCCACAAACCTCAAGACGGCAAGATCTTGTGTCGGAATGCAAAAAATGTAACATTACATGTTTCGTTCCCCCGTCTCCCCTTCCCCACATGCCTCAGGACGGCAAGATCCTGTGTTGGAAGTTCAGCCCGGCCTCACAACGTTTCGAGCCGGCAGCATTCTCTGTGGCTTCTTTCCCCCCATGCCTCCCTTTTTTCTCCCTTCCCTCCCCCCTGTTTCCATCCCTTGGTTGTCCCTCCTGCCCCCGAACACATTCCCCAGGACGGCAAGATCCTGTGTTGGAGGGTAACAGTAGCAGCATTGCATATTTCGTTCCCCCCTCATTTCCCCCCTTCCCCCCCCCACACATGCCTCAGGACGGCAAGATCCTGTGTTGGAAGTTCAACCCGGCCTCGCAGCAGTTTCAGCCCGTGGCGTCACTCACAGGCCACACGGCTGCTGTCGTGTGCCTTTCTTGAATGTTTGACACTATTCCTTTCCCCCCATTGCCTTGACCCCTTCCCTTCCCCATATCTTCAGGACGGCAAGATCCTGTGTTGGAAGTTCAACCCAGCCTCGCAGCAGTTTGAACCCGTGGCATCACTCACCGGCCACACAGCGGCTGTCGTGTGCCTTGAAGCCACTGCCACGCATCTATTCTCTGGATCCATGGATAAGAGCATCAGAGTGAGTGTGGAGTGAGTGTGGGATGTAGAGTGAATGGGATATAGATCATCAGTCATATACTCACATCACAGGCCACACAGCTGCTGTGCTGTGCCTGGAAGCCACTGCCACGCACCTCTTCTCTGGGTCCATGGATAAGAGCATCAGAGTGAGTGGTGGGTGGGTGGGACATGGACAGCAAGGCATTCGAGTGAGTATATAGTGAGGGAGTAAAATTAAGGTATGGATAACGAGGCACACACTGACGGGCCACACAGCTGCTGTGGTGTGCCTGGAAGCCACTGCCACGCACCTCTTCTCTGGGTCCATGGATAAGAGCATCCGAGTGAAGTGTGTAGTGCATAGAGAGTGAGTGTGTGGAGTGAGTGGAATATCGATCATGAGGCACACACTCACAGGCCACACGGCTGCTGTCGTGTGCCTTGAATTGAAGCCACTGCCACGCACCTCTTCTCTGGGTCTTATGGATAAGAGCATTAGAGTGAGTGTGGAGGGGACACCGACAAATCAAAGTGGTTGTATAGAGTGGGTATAGGGTGAGTGTATAGTGATTTTATGGTGAATGTATAGCGAGTGTATAGTGAGTGTATGAAGTATAGTGAGTGTAGAGTAGTACAAACAAACAAGGCTCCTCACTTCCGTTCCGTTTCCCCCACCCATCCCCCCGCCCCCCATGCACAATTCCTCCCTCACCCTTGCGTCTTATCAGATATGGGATCTCAGCACGGGAGCGTGTGTGCACATAGTGCCGGCTCACGAGCATGTGGTGATGGCGCTGGTGGCCTGGCAAACTCACCTGCTCTCCTGCTCACTGGATGGGACGGTTAAGGTGAGCAGTGCGGGGTTAGATTTGAAGGTGGGCTGTGCGGATTGGGAAGTGACGGGGGGGACGAGGACGGAGAGGGGAGGCGGGAGGGAGAGGGGTGGAGATTGTAAGTTGAGGGGATACCTGAGTGTCTGCCTGTATACCCTGACAGACAGACAGGTATGGCTGTGGCACCAGCAGGAAGACTTTTGAGGCGCCTCAAAAGAGAGGGGAGGGGGGAGTGTGAGGGGTGGAGATTGTAAGAGTTGAGGGGATACCTGAATGTCTGCCTGAATGTCTGCCTGAATGTCTGTCTGTATACCCTGACAGACAGACACGTATGGCCGTTGCACCAGCAGGTACAGGGGGCATCGATTTGCCATTCATTCACGCAGTTGTTTTTTTGTCACACCCTGTTAAACCTTAGAATTTCCTTGACAGGTGTGGGCGCCGTTGGCAGCAGGAGGGGTCCCATTAATAACACAGATGCGGACGACAAGGGAGGGTTTAGGGAGGGTCCCATTCATTCACATATGTTTTTACCTTGCAAAACCCAAACCCCTGCACATCTTTCCTGTAGGTATGGGCGCCGTCAGCAGCAGGAGGGGGTGCCATCGACCTGGCGTTCACTCACACAGATGCAGACGACAAGGGAGGCAGCGGGCAGACCGACAGGGAACCCGATGTATGTCTTGATCCTCCTTGACACTCCATTCCAAGTTTGTGTGGTAACTGTAAGATCTCAAGCGCGGAGCGGGCAGACTGACAGGGAACCCGATGTATGTCTCGATCCTCCTTCAGTCTCCATGCTATTAGATGAATCAGACTGTAAGAAGCCATCATAACTGTAAGAAGCCATCATAACTGTAAGAAGCCATCATAACTGTAAGAAGCCATCATAACTGTAAGAAGCCATCATAACTGTAAGAACTTAAGGGCGGCAGGGGGCTGCGGGCAGACCGACAGAGAGCCTGATGTGTGTCTCGATCCATCTGGACTCTCCATTCCATTGCGTGAATCAAGACGACCGTAAGAAAGGGCTGCAGGTGTAGACTGTACAGAGGTAGGCGACACATTGTTCCTCTTGACTTTTGAGTCGACTCAAAAGTCAGCTCGCTACAATGTCACAAGGTAGGCGACGCATTGTTCCTCTTCTTTTTTTCCCCCCTTTTTTTCTGCACTTATTACATTGCGCTATTGCTTGTATATTCAACTGCTACGCATCTCTACTACTATTGTTAGGTTCACATCTTACGTTCCGTCCTCTAGTGCACTATGTATACATGTGACACTTCTATTTCCCCCCTTGCCTTGCCTGCTTCGCTCCCTCTCCGAATGCAGGGAGCGTTGGCCATGCCAGTGAGCACGGATCTAGCACTCATGGTGGGATAAGGTCCCTTTCTTTCCTCCCGTTTTCCCGTTTCGCCCTTCCACTTTCCTCCTTCCACGCTTCCTTCCCCCTTCCCCTCATGCAGGGAGCATTGGCAATGAAAGTGAGCACGGATCTGGCGGGCAATCAGGTGCTCATGGAGGCACACCCCCACATCCCCCTCCCCCACCGCTTCACCCTTCTGTTTCCCCCTTTCCCTTGCCTGCTTCATCCCCTCTCCCTATGCAGGGAGCGTTGGCAATGAAAGTGAGCACAGATCTAGCAGGCAATCAGGTGCTCATGGTATCGTACAGCGACAACTCAGTCCGCCTCTACGACCTTCCATCGTACGTTTGTCGCCTCGGATTAAGGCGCCTTACGAAATTTTGGCAGGAATTTAGGCCTTATAATCTAATCAGGTGCTCATGGTATCCTACTGTGAGTGCTCCGCACGGCACCACGACCTCCCCTCGTCCTACAATTGTACCCCTGTAGGTCGTAGGGGAGGTCGTAGTGCCCCTGTACTACAAGCTTCTAGGGTCCTCGTTTCCTTTTTTGCTTTTCTTTTCCTTTTTGTTCTAGATTCGCGGTGTGCTGGAATCGTGTTTTGAGTCGACTGAAAACTATACTTTTTGTTCTAGATTCGCGGTGTGCTGGAATCCGCGTCTTGACATTATTTCCTCAATCCCGCATGTCACATCCTTCCTCCCGCGTGCCACGTGTCACACAACTGCTTCCCATCTTCACGGCAGGTTCACTGAGCGGGGAGCGCTGTTCACAGTGCAGGAGGTGCGATCTCTGTGTGTGGGGCCCAGCGGACTCATGTTCACCGGTGACAGTGCAGGGACGGTCAAGGTGTGGCGGTGGACGCAGTGAGGGGTTTAAGCAGGAGAAGTGGGGAAAGAGGGAGAAAGGAGCACAAGGGATACCTCAAAGTACAGCTGCTGTGGTTTGGGTTGGGGACCGTGCGGACATGACGACCTTTTCTAGACGACTCGAAGAAAAGGCAGCACATTGGAGAACCCCAAGGGCATCTGCTGTGTGTGGGCCGTAATGCTGGCGACAGCACAGGGACGGAGTGAAAGTGTGGCATGGCGACGAGTACGAGGGTCCCAAGACAGCTCGCTGCAGCGGTGCAATGCAGTGCAGTACAGTGCAGTGCAGTGCGAGCGTCAGAGGGGGGGGCACTGGGAGACCTAAAACTGCAGCCGCTGTGTGTGGGGCCCAGAGCTGATGGCTGGGACTGAGTCAATGTGTGGTGCGGCTGTGAGCAGGATGGATTATTCCGCCAAGATAGGAATAGATGGCGGTGCACGACAGCTCACTGCAGTGTGGGTCAGTGCAGTGCAGTGCAGTGCAGTGCAGTGCAGTGCAGTGCTGTGCAGTGTGGTGCGGTGTAGTCCGGCGTCATATGTAGCAATGGTGCACTCGTCAAAGCGAGGGGCCCAGCTATGCTCGATCTGTCCGTAGAGAAATAGGTCTAGGTGCGTACTGGAAACTTTTAGCATTTGTTTGGCTTGTTCAGACAAGAAATGCCACACATGGGGTGAGGTGAGGGTGTATGGTTGAAAACCGAAACAGGGTGTAGGGCACAGAAGGTGTAGGGGGTTCACGAACAAATACCTATTATTGGGAATTCTTTATTGTTATCCAGGAATTCTTAGCTGATGCAAGAGCTATAAAATAATTCATTGATCAACTTCTTTTCTTACACGTACCATTCGGCTATGCAAAGGAGAGCAAGACAGGGTGTGAGCTGAGTAATTATTGCAATACAATAACAAGATACACAATGCCACATGATTTGCGACAAGCAGTGCTCTCTGCAGGTGAAATAACTCAAAACCCCTGAAACCTGAGAGGCACTTAAATCTATGACAAGGGTAAGCTTTGCAAGGTGTCACGACGAGCTGTTTGCCTCATGCTGACACCAAAAAAATGCGGGTATGGAATCTGAGCATCTCATCCCAGCATCTCGCGAACCATTTCGTACGCCAGAAAGCATGCAGCATTCGCAGGTACACTCCGAGCCATGGCAGGACCAAACCCTCTGTACAAGCCCTTGACGCCCTCTGTGGCCCACACTTTTTTGAAAGCCTGTACTGTGCCGGTGTACTTGGGGTTTCTGCACACGCACATGGAAGAAATCAGCCATCAAATGCAATGAATAAGTTAATCTTGCAATGAGGTCAGTGACATCCATGTGCGGTCAGTGACATGCAATGGGTGGTTATGACATGTAATGAGAGGTCAATGACATGCAATGGGTGGTCAATGACATGCAATGGGTGGTCAATGACATGCAATGGGTGTTCAATGACATGCAATGAGTGGTCAATGACATGCAATGAGTGGTCAATGACATGCAATGGGTGGTCAATGACATGCAATGAGCGGTCAATGACATGCAATGCGTGGTCAATGACATGCAATGAGCGGCCAATGACATGCAAGGGAGGTCAAATGCATGCAATGTGTGGTCAGGAACATGCAGTGAGTGGTCAATAATATGCAATATGTGATAAATGACATTCAGTGTGGGGACAATCCATACTATGCAATGAGTGGGGTCAATGTTATGCCACGAATGGTGCGATGAGTCGTCATAGACATGCATGTAACCCTACCAGGCTAATTTAGGGACGTGCATTACTGCATACTATACTGGCTAGTCTTGCCGCATGTCCCCATCTCGGTGATGCCGGAATAACATTATGCCGGAAAAACAATACATTTCTTCATGCCATTGCTCACCTGTAGTCGTCTACTTGAATCATGCTCTTGATGACGACAGTCGGGTACACTGAACCCCAGAAGCACGCACCACCCACGCCACCAGCAACAAGCAGCGCTCCTCGGCTGAGCCCTGATGTGTCAGTTCCTCCTGCCATCAGCTGGAGCACAAGGTACAGAGGAGGGGCGTTCGTAAATATCCCAGGCATGTTGTAATGCACCTCCGCGGGGCAGAGGAAGAAGCGTGAGAGAAAAGGACCGGGTGGGAGGGGACCATATGGGTGAGAGGCAGGGAGAGAATACAGTGAAAGAGGGACAGAGGAGGTAGGGCTTTTTTTCAAGACAGTAGAGCTGTCTGCCACTCAGTGGCAAACTCAAGAGAGCAAATAGTTTCAGTATGCATGCGTACTCTATGGTTACGTTCTAATTATGCTTTTTTTTTCACACTTTTATTACGTTTGGCTGGAATCGATTTGACCTGGAAATTACGCTCAACAGAATCAGGCTAGCATCTGCGAGTGCTGGTTTTCTCCTATCCATAGCAATCCCAATCCAACAGGTCGCCCTACGTACGCGATATAAGCACCACAAATGGCGCACAAAACTGCATCAAGCCCATACAGCCTCTCACCTGTTTTGTCGCCTCGTACGCTCCGAACATAGCCGCGTTTCCAGGAACCTCCCGCATCAGCGTGGGAGTGAGGCCCTTAAACAGTCCCAATGCGCCGCCCTCCGACCGAATGACGTGGCGCGCCACGTCCAGCGGACCCGCGTAACGCGGCACGCTCATGGAGACGGTGGGCCCGCCACCAGCAGCAACGCCTGCGACAGCTCCCTGTAAAGCAGAACGGGACAAAGGAAAAGTTGGTTTGGGTGGGTGAAGAGTTGACGCCGATGAGAGGCTATATTACGCCGATTCAGGGGAAATCGGTTCGTGCTCGAACTCCATTGCACATTCCCATAATTTTCAAGAAAAACGTAAGGCGGAATGTCACGAACGCACCAAACTTTATCAGTCAGTACGATATAAACTATTATAAGCTGTAGACTTCAGGGAGGCCATTACGAACAAAAGGAGTGGAAATTGCATGAATTGACGCGGCAATACCTGGAGAGGAGCGGCTGCGAGAGCGCTTTGAGCTTGCAGGCGGCACTTGATCAGCTCCGTTGGACACGCGACGAACGACACGGCCAGGCCGGCTCCTCCTCCAGCAATCACCTGCTTCCCCACCGAAAGCTTTTCGTCTGGGCTGCTCTTCAGCATCGCTTCCATCTGCCCGCGGGCAGTGAAAAGAACCGCGTTGAAAACCGCGACGGTGGCGAGAGGAGGGCCGATGCCCGCGTAGAGCCCTTTGGGTCCCTCAGCGGCTATGGTTTTCCGAACCGCGTCCATGGCGCCTGAGTACATGGGCGGCTGGCCTGGAGCCGGCTGGGGTTGTGCTTGTAGTTTGACCTTGATTGTATCGAAGGGATGGCCGACCAGAAGCTGAGCTACTCCAGCGAGAGTTCCGGCGGTCAGGTCCTTCGCTACAGCGCTATTGTCGGAAGCCATGGTCTTAGCGGAAGGCAAGCAAAACAAGGAGGCACGAACCAATGAGCTATGTACAGACTGGAAAGTAATCGCAACTGATCTCGAGTTTCAGTCTCTTATCTTCTCTAGTCATTTATGTACAGGTTTGACGTTCGGCTTATTGGAAATATGTGTGGCAGTCCCAAGGTGCATGTGCTGGGACGAGATGCCTGGCCAAGGGACGACCTACAGTAATTCCTCATGTCGGGCATAGGGAATCCTCCCACCCTTATGAACCAGCGCGCCTCGACTCTTAGGAGCGAGTGGTTGTTGCTTGAATTCAAGCCTCCCTGGAGATTGGGGGGGACCCTGAAGTTGGTGGCTATCGTTTCACGCTGTCGTGGCGCCTTGGATTGTGATTCGCGATCGTTTGTGGATGCGTGACTGGGTGGGGAAGGGATGTTGGTGTGTGGGTACATCGCTTTGGACGAATACTGTTGGGAAATCGCAACCGTAAACTGCTGTGAATTAGATGGTGCAGGTAGAAAGGCGGGAAAATGTTTGTGAAACGGGCTCTCCAATGAAGCACAACATCGAGCGAGTCCAGCCAATTGCAGCGCGTCACAAATGGTATCGGAAGAGCCACGAAAAACACAGACTTCCTATAACCACACTGCAATTATAGTACATACAACTAGCTTTTCCAGCTTCAAGATTTTGAACCATACAAGATGTAGTGATTAAGTTAATGGTATTGCAAAAATCGTAAAACCATCAAACCTAGTAAGGCCTAACTTAGTCGTCCCTGGAGCTTCATTGTACCGCAAAGTGATGATAACTCATAGGTAAAGAGATGCTGCAAACACAATGCCCCGCTTGAGCTTCTCACTTGCTGCGGATATCTTTTCTGCAAGGCTTGTTTCTCCAATAGTCTTACTCGCCACAATAATCTGAACACACAAATGACAACGACAAAACGTCACAGACAGATGATGAGGACGACTTGCACATGCTTTTAAAGTCATAACACATCAAACACCTAAAGTGTGCCAGGAGGTTAAGGAATTGTACACACTGATCTGCTGTCTCTGTTCTTCTACTCAACCCACAGCTCACTCTCCCAAACTCACCTTCTGACTAACTCTTCCAGCCGCCTCACGACAGATCAGCGACTGCTAAAAGCTGTCGCCTGGTGTCTCTGTGTGCTTTGTTAGTCGACCCACTCACAGCTCACACTCTACCACTCTCACCTCCTGCAGCAGCCCTTCCAGCCGCCTCATACCACGGATGCGCGATCCCTCAAATGTGCTGGCTGCTGTCAGTGTTCTTTCAGTCAACTCACACCACACACTCGTCCCACTCTCACCTCCTGCAGCAGCCCTTCCAGCCGCCTCATAGCACAGATGCGCGACCCCTCAAACGTGTGGGCTGCTGCCTCTGTGGCTTGTTACTGAACCCATTCAGAGGACACACTCAACTCACAACTCACACACCCCACTCCCACCTCCTGCAGCAGATCTTCCAGCCGCCTCATGGCACGAATCAGCGACCCCTCAAACGTGCCAGCTACTGCCTCTCTGTGTTTTGTTACATAGAAAAACAGCGACCCACTCACAAGTGCACCCTCTCCCACGCTCACCTCCTGCAGCAGCTCCTCCAATCGCCTCATAGCGCGAATCAGCGACCCCTCAAACGTGTCGGCAGCTGCCAGCACATCAGCAAACGCGGCCCCATGGCACCACCCAAACACCGCTTCCATTATGTCCGGTCGGAAGGACGCCACATACGTTTCCACATCGACAGCAATCTGATGGTGGCAGGGGGGGGAGAGCAGGGTGGGAGAGAAAGAGGAAAGAGGGGCTGAGCACATCTGCAGAGTAGAGAAGGCCCCATGGCACCACCCAAACACCGCCTCCATTATGTCCGGTCGGAAGGACGCCACATACGTTTCCACATCTACAGCAATCTGACGGTGGCAGGGGGAGGAGAGCAGGGTGGGAGAGCAAGAGGAAGGAGGTGTTGTGCACATCTGCAGAGTGGGTCCCATCCCATGGCACCACCCAAACACTGCCTCCATGATATCCGGTCGGAAGGACGCCACATACGTTTCCACATCGACAGCAATCTGATGGTGGCAGGGGGGGGAGAGCAGGGTGGGAGAGCAAGAGGAAGGAGGTGTTGTGCACATCTGCAGAGTGGGTCCCATCCCATGGCACCACCCAAACACCGCCTCCATTATGTCCGGTCGGAACAAGGCCACATAGCTCTCCAAATTGAGAGAGTGCATAGAGTAAGCCCCTTGCGTTCCTCTCATTGCCCTCTCGCTGCCTCTCAACCCTAGGTCACCACAGGCTCTCCCGCGGCCTCTTCGCCCCGCCCGCACCCGTCTCCTTTCCACACGCAGCAGCCCAGCAGCACAACCGCTCTCTGTGTTTGGACAATCACGCAAGGGGGACTCATAATCAACATCGAATCCCATCTTCCAGTCACTCACCTTACACTCCTCCTGCACGCGTGCTATCCGCCGGGCATCTCCCTCAGCTGAGCCAGCGACCCCTGCAAACTCTCCCTCGGTTGCTTCGCCCCGCCCGCCCCCTTCTCCTGCCACACGCAGCACCACAGCAGCGCTGCCCCTCTCTCCATTCTGACTCTGACTCTACATCGGTACTCACCTTACACTCCTCCTGCACACGAGCTATCCGCCTTGCAATCTCTCTCAGCTGAGCCAGCGGCCCCTGCAAGCTCTCCCTGGGTCTCTTCGCCCCGCCCGCCCCCTTCTCCTGCCACACGCAGCATGACAGCAGCGCCACCACAGTCTCGGGAGGGAGGTCCGCCAGGGCTGCACTGAAGAGCAATTCGGTCACCACCAGCTCATCTGCACTGGAGATTTCGCAGGCCAACCCGTCCCTTCACGCGAACGATCTCGTCTTCATCGATGTATCTGTCGGGAAGGAGGAAGGGAAGAAGGGGAACGTACGGAAAATAAGAACCTAAAATGGCAGTTGATGGACCGACAGCAGCGTCGCCACGGTCTCGGGAGGGAGGTCCGCCAGGGCTGCACTGAAGAGCAATTCGGTTACCACTAGCTCGTCTGCTGAGGAGATCTCACAGGCAACCCGGCCCTTCACGCGCACAATTTCGTCCTCATCGATGTACATGGAGTGATAGAGTGGAGGGCGGAAGGGGAAAGAGAGCGCTGCACTGAAGAGCAATTCGGCTACCACCAGCTCATCGGCTGAGGAGATTTCGCAGGCAACCCGGCCTTTGACTCGCACAATCTCATCCTCCTTGATGACTTTTGAGACGTCTCAAATTTCGCAGGCAACCCGGCCTTTGACTCGCACAATCTCATCCTCCTTGATGACTTTTGAGACGTCTCAAATTTCGCAGGCAACCCGGCCTTTGACTCGCACAATCTCATCCTCCTTGATGACTTTTGAGACGTCTCAAATTTCGCAGGCAACCCGGCCTTTGACTCGCACAATCTCATCCTCCTCGATGTACCTGCAGGGAAGGAGGACGGGGAAAGCGCAGAGAAGCAGAGGTTCAGTCAGAGGGAGTTTAGGTGACTGGCAGGCACTGCTGCCACGGTCTCGGGGGGGAGGTCCGCCAGGGCGGCACTGAAGAGCAGCTCGGTTACCACAAGCTCGTCGGCTGAGGAGATTTCACACGCCACACGGCCTTTGACCCGCACGATTTCGCCCTCATCGATGTATCTGCAGGGAAAGAGTGGAAGGGGAAAAGGAGAGCTGCACCGAAGAGCAGTTCTATCACCACCAGCTCGTCTGCTGAGGAGATCTCACACAGGCCACCTGGCCTTTGACCCGCACGATTTCGCCCTCATCGATGTACCTGCGGGGAAGGGGGAAGGGGGAAGGGGAACACATACGCAGCCGGAAAGACGGGAAACACACAGAAAATTAGAGCCTAGAATGGCAGGCTGGGGGACTGGCAGCGCCGCCACGGTCTCGGGGGGAAGATCCGCCAGGGCTGCACTGAAGAGCAGCTCGGTTACCACCAGCTCGTCTGCTGAAGAGATCTCACAGGCAACCCGGCCTTTGAGCCGAACAATTTCGTCCTCATTGATGTATCTGCGAGGAACAAGGCACACAGAAGCAAACAAGATGGCAGGTTGGGGGACTGGCAGCGGGCGGCACAGTCTCAAGAGGGACGTCCGCCAGGGCTGCACTGAAGGGCAGCTCTGTCACCACCAGCTTGTCCGCTGAAGAGATCTCACACGCTACCCGGCCCTTTACTCGAACAATCTCGTCCTCATTGATGTACCTGCGGGGAAGGAGCAAGTGGAGCAGGGAACAGTTTTGAGATGTCTCAAAACCTGCGGGGAAGGAGGAAGTGGAGAAGGGAACAGCAAGCAAGGAGTTGCAACGAGGAGTTGAGGGCGCCACAAAAGCAGGGTGCAAGACAACTCTGCAGAAACTCTTCTGGAAAAACGAGCTGGTTTTTCAAGATTCTCCAAAACCAGCTCGTACCAGGTGGCAGCTCTGCAGAAACCCTTCTGAGCGATTGTTGAGGCCACTTAAGAATTTGAGGATTCTAACCAGCTCGTACCAGGTGGCAATTCTGCAGAAACTCTTTTGAGAAATCTCAAAAGTGGATCAAGTGAAGCAGGACAATCTGCAGGTACTAGGTTGCATTGCCAGCACGTCAGCTGTATTCCATAATAAAATACCACTCACCCACGTCATTGCCTAACCTGAACTTGAGCTTGAAGCACAAATTCAGAATAAGCCCTTTCGCCCTCCCTCCGTTCGTTATACTCACTCTAATCGCCGCAGCACCCTCATCCTCGCTTTAAGCTCGTCCTTCAATATAAGCCCGCCCGCCGCCTTGACCTCCTTCTTAAGCACTTTGAGAGCAATCTTCAGCTTGCTCTTTCGAGCCAGCTCCCGGACCCGAACCTGCAGGTCTGGAACCGAGGCTAGAGCGTGAGAGGCGATCAGAGCTTCGAGTGCTTCGGCTCTCCTCACTGCCTTGCGATAGGCTGAGCTGTTCACCTGGTGGGATGGAATGAAGAAAAAAGAGAAGAGGACCAGGTGGAGTGAGTTACTGTGCATACGCCAGGAGTCTGGTGGGGGAACCCTGCCTAGCTGCTGCTGACCTGGAGGGGTGGCGATAGGCTCAGCTGTTGACCTGGAGGGGTGGACGAGCAGAAGTGCAGAGGGCATGCGGGAGTAACGGAGGAAGAGAGTTGGAAAACTGATAATGGCTTATAATGGGCAAAAATAGGCTTATAATGGCTGCCACACCAGTCGGGTGCAGAGCAGCAGGCCCACTTCGTACCCGCTATAAGCATGCCATTCGCTCTGCACCTCAGCAGAAGCGAAAACGCATAAAACTCTCTGCAAACACACTCTTCTGTTCTGTACACTTTAAAGCCCAAGACCCGAATTACAAAAAACGAAGGCAAACTGTGCACAGTTTGCCTCCCGCAGCCCACAGTTTTGCCCCGCGTTGACTAGCGTTGAGCAATTCAGGTCTTGGGCTTTAAAAGAATGCCTCGAACTCCTGAACTCGTTATAAGCATACATCCAATGCCCATTCCAAAACTCCATTCTATCCATTCTGCACTACAGCAGAAGCATACATGCATGCAGCACACTTTGCAATTGTACCCTCTATAAGCATACTCTCCAGCTGTACCCTCTATAAACATACTTCCATATCCTTTTCAGGGTCCAGCATCTGCATATACATTCTGCACCTCAGCACAAGCAAGATTATACTCTCTATAAGCATACCTCCATGTCTTCTTCAGGGTCCAGCATCTGCACGCCATCCGCCCCGGCTCTCAGCAGCAGCTGCTGCAGCGACTTCAGGGCGGCCTCTCTTGGCTCCTTGTGCTTGAGGTCCTTTGGGAGAAACAGGCGCACTGCACTTATGGCGTCTAGCTGATAGTGGGGTTGATTATAACGGGTACGAACAGAGAAGGAGAAGGAAGCATAGGAGAAACTTAGGGCGGCCTCGATTGGCTCCTTGTGCGTCCAGTCCTTGGGGAGGAACTGGCGCACTGCACTTATGCGGTCCAGCTGAAAGAGGGGTTGATTATAACGAGGATAAAGAGAGCAGGAAAAAGGAAGCATAGGAGGAATTTAGGGCGGCCTCTCTTGGCTCCTTGTGCTTCAGGTCCTTGGGGAGAAACAGGCGCACTGCGATTATCCCATCCAGCTGAAAGAGGAAATGATCACAACGGGGATAAGGGGAGGAAAGTAAGGAAAAGCAAGAGAGCGGACGGCCTCCCTTGGCACTTTGTGCTTCAGGTCCTTTGGAAGAAAGAGGCGCACTGCACTTATGCCATCCAATTGAAAGAGGGTTTGATTATAACGAGGATAGATGGATGGAGCAGCATGAGGGGTTGAGCTCCACTGATTTGATGGAGTATGTCAAAAGGGGCAATGCGCTTATGCCATCCAATTCGAAAGCGGTTGATAACAAAAGAGACGGAAGGAGGGGTTTAGGGAAGCACTAGTTGGCTCCTTGTACCCCATTAAACTAGTTGGCTGTGCTCCTAGTGGGGTAAGGAGGAACATCCGCACAGCACCACATTAAGGAGCACGAGGTGCAACGACTGGAGGTACAGCAGCAGAGTATAATGGTGGTGGCATATGTAAGTCTGAGGAAATTGACACAAAACGAGGAAAGCCCCCCTCATCGCCGAGCGATACGTTCACATCACATGACCAAGGGCTTGCCTCCCTCTTCTCCCGGTCTGCACGGCCGAGGAGATTTGCCTGGGGGACGTCATACGGAGGAAATTCGCCTCTACCGTATGACCGGCCGAGGAAATTTGGAGCAACAAGAGGTGCAACAACTGGTGGTTCAATACCGAGTCAGTCAGAGGGAACGAGGCAACAAGAGGAGACCCCCCTTCCTCCCCTGGTCTACACGGCCGCACCACCTTCCTGCCGCTCCCAATCAGCCCCATGCATACATCCAAGCGACATGTTCACACGGCCATTGCTTCTCAGAAGAACCAATGAGGTGACTTTTGAGTCGACTCAAAAATCTTCTCAGAAGATTCAATGCCGCAACACATACCTGGGTCAGAGGGAACGAGGCGACCAAGGGATTGCCCCCCTCTTCTCCCGGTCTGCACGGCCGCACCACCTTCCTGGGCCCCCCAGGCGGCCCCATGCGCCCTGCACTTCCTTCCTCCACACACCGTGTGAGAATGTCCACGTCATACGCCACGTCAGCTGCTGCCTCCGCCGCCTCTGCAAGTGTGGGAGGGAGTAAGGAGAAGCATTGTGTGTGAAATGCTCAGATCATATTGACTTTTTGAGTTGACTCAAATGTCACAAGTCACAGTACTACACAATGCCATGTCATGTCATATGCGGGCAGAACTCCCTGGCAAACAAACCGCGACACACGAGACAATTTCGGAGGCGCACTCACCATCTTGCTGCTCCCCTCCTCCCACTCCTCCTCGTTTCCGGTTCACCTTCTTGAAATTCACCACCACCCCCCATACAGTCACATCCTCCTCATTCCCAATCCCCCCCGCCTCCCCCCCTTCCCCTCCGCCCTCCCCTTCCCCTTCCCCCTCCGCTCCCCCCGCCCCTCCCCCTCCCCCCTGGCACAGTATCCGCACAACCCTCCCAGGGGAGAGGAAGGGGAGGGCGTGGCGGGGGGAGGTGAGGAAGGAGCGGATTTCAGCCCTCAGGGCGGAGAGTTGGCGGCGCAGGGAGAGGAGGGCGAGGAGAGACGACTCGTCGGGGATGGTGATTGCTGAGTGCTCGGCTTCAAGGGCTTGTAAGCGCGCCTGCGAAGGGGGGCAAGGGGAGGGGGGTGGGAAAAGTGGGGAGGCACGCCGTGGTAAAGAGGGGGTGGTGAGGAAGCAGCGGATTTCAGCACGCAGGGCGGAAAGTTGGCGACGGAGCGAGAGGAGGGCGAGGAGGGACGATTCGTCCGGGATGGTGATTGATGAATACTCAGTTTCCAGTGCTTGTAAGCGCACCTGTGAAAGGGGGGAAGGTGGGGGGGGGGGGGGGGAAGGGGGAAGGGGGAGCAGGGAAGTGCGAGAGGAGGGTGTGGCGGGGGGTGGTGAGGAAGGAACAGATCTTGGCTCTCAGGGCGGAGAGAGTTGGCGGCGGAGGGAGAGGAGGGCGAGGAGGGATGATTCCTCAGGAATAGAGATAGCTGAATGCTCGGCTTCAAGAGATTGTAGACGAGCCTGGGGGAGAGGGGGGGGGGGGGGAGAGGAGAAACGGGAGGGGAGAGGAAGGGGAGGGCGTGGTAAAGAGGGGGTGGTGAGGTGACCACAAGTCGTTAAGGAGTCGACCCAGACAAGTCAATGGTCAGCAGTGACAATCAACGCACCTGCAGGGCCGGCAGTGCTCGGTCCGAGGTGACTTTTGAGTCGACTCAAAAGTCCCCTCAATGGTCAGCAGTGGCAATCAACGCACCTGCAGGGCCGGCAGTGCTCGGTCCGATTGAAACTGGCGGTATGAGCTTCTGATGGTTTGCTCTATCTCCACCTCGGGGCTCCTCAGCTGGTTCAGAATGAAGTTGTATGACAGGTGGAAGGCGCTGATTGGACGAGAGGGAGGGGGCAAACGGGAAGAAGGAAAGAGGGAAGGAGAAGGGGAAAGAGGAGGTGTGAAAGGAGCATAATCAGTGTGACAGTGTGGCTCCTCCTCAGCTGGTTCAAAATAAAGTCGTACGACAGGTGGAAGGCGCTGATTGGCCGAGAGGGGGCAAATGGGAAAGGGAAAGGAAAAGGGAAAGGAAAACGGGGAGAGTATAGGCAGACGAGAGGGAATTCGGAGCAGCTGTTGCCAAGGCCGGCATTATCCAGCGATTGTGCATCGTGCAATGAAGGATTGCTCCTACCATTCCTATTACATGGCCTCACCTCACTAGGGGGTCCGCAGAGCCCTTGACCACGGCCTTGGCCACTGCTGGTTCCATGCGCAAATCCACCATCAGAATGCAGTGTCCCGGTTGTCCAGCAATCGTACAAAGGGCGGCAACTCCTATCAATTCCCGTTACAACCCCTCACCTCACTAGTGGGTCCGCGGAGCCCTTGACCATCCCCTTAGCTACAGCCGGCTCCATCCTCGAATCCATCATCAGAATGCAGATGCCCCGGTCGTCCTGGCCTCGCCTGCCTTGTGTGGAATGAAAGTACCTACACACAAGCTGTTAACCGATCCCTGTATGACTCACCTCACTAGAGGGTCCGCAGAGCCCTTGACCATTCCCTTGGCAACAGCAGGCTCCATGCGCGAGTCCACCATGAGAATGCAGATGCCCCGGTCGTCCAGCCCTCGCCTGCCTGCCCGCCCGCTCATCTGAATGTACTCGCCTCCTGACAGCCACCTGCATTTTTTTAAGGTGGAGCGGAAAGACAATAAGGGGGTGACGGAAGGATGAATGAGGAGCAATGGGAGAGACGAGTTGGGGGAGGAAGGAAAGGGGGGGGTTGGGTGATGGGGGAGGAGGGGAGAAGGCAAAGGGGGAAAAGGCAAGACCTTCTCTTTTGTGAAAAAAAACGTAGAAAAAAAAAAAAAAACACTACACAGGCACGGCTAGAAAATACAAGAAAAGAGAAAGAAAGGACAAAATCCTCACCGTGACTTGGTGCCGTCCCACTTGCGCACGTTGGTGAACACGACCGTCTTGGCCGGCATGTTGAGCCCTATGCTGAAGGTCTCGGTTGCGAAGAGGCACTGAAGGGGTGGTGGTGAGGAGGGGGATATGTGAGAGAATGAGTGGGAATGAGAGGAAGGCTGAATGGTGGGGTCACAAGTCACGTTGGTGAAGACGACGGTCTTGACGGGGATGAGAGAGCCCACACCCAAGCCTCGTGGACTAAGAGTGAGCAGCACAAAGCACGTACATACACACACGGCCACACCCTGCAACTGAATTTACCGCACCTTGAGCAGCCCCTCTTGAAAGAGGATTTCAATCACTTCCTTCAGCAAGGGCAGCAGCCCCGAGTGGTGAATGCCGATGCCCCTCCGCAGCAGCGGCAGCATGCTGTTCACCTGATGGGGTGTGTTGGGGGGGATGGGGGTGTTGGGAGTTGAGATGGGGGATGAGGATGCGATGCAAAGAGAGAGGAGAGGAGGGCTCCTTTGCAAGGCGAGCCATCAGATGCTGAGGCTGCCTTTGCTCTGGAGGGGCCTGGAATGCTGGATGCTGATGCCCTTCAGGAGCAAAGGCAAAGGCAGCACGCTATTCACCTGGCTGGCGACAAGATGAAGGGGAGGGGTGATGGAGGGATCGGAAATGGGGGGATGACGGGATGACGACGACTGGGGGCAGGTGAATAGATGATGGAAGACCAGGTGGAAGAGACAACGTGGAGAAAGCTTCTTGTCCTCTTCTGTGCTGTTCACTTGTAGATAGAGGACGTTATGGGAGGTTGCAGGGTGTAGCGGAGGGATGGAGGGAGGGACCAAAAGATGGAACGGGATGTTGGGTTGTGGAATGGAGGGACGAGAGAATGGGAAGGTGATTAAGGAAACCAATTCGCGATGCGATTTGGTCCCTCCACTGGGGCTTCACACACACGTCACCTGAGGTAGCTTCAGGTACCCGCCACCTGGGGCACCAGCGACCTTGCCCTGCCGCGTTGTATCGTCCTTCGAGGTGCCTCAAAAGTCGTGCCCTGCCGCATTGTATCGTCCCACACGCTCCCATTTCACCCACCTGGGGAAGCTTCTTGTCTTCCTCTGCCAGGCTGTCAATGGCGTTGTTCCTGAAGGTCTCCTCAATCAGCTTCTTCTCATCATCGTCATTCAAATCCATCCGAGACATCTGAAGTGCCAACTTCTCTTTCATTCGTGTCACCTGCGGTAGCTTACAGAAGTGAGGCAGCTTCACCCACCTGGGGCAGCTTCTTGTCTTCCTCTGCCAGGCTGTCAATGGCATTCCTGAAGATCCCATCAATCAGAGTCTTCTCATCATCGTCATTCAGATCCATCCTTGACATTTGCAGCGCCAGCGCCTCACAGTCCGCACGGCTGAACGAGAACACAATCACCGGGTCGTACTGCCTCTGCATTATCATCTTCACGATCTTGTATATATCACTCTCCTCCCCCTTCTTCCCCCCTCCGCCTCCCCCTCCGGCTCCCCCTCCCCCAGGGCCACCCCCTCCCGCCCCCCGCTTCCCCTTCCCCCACTTCCCCCCTTTCTTCCCCCCGTCCTCCCCGTCCTCCCCCTTTCCGCCGCCCTCTCCCCCTTCCACTGCGTTCATCGCCTTCTGGAAGGAAGCTTCGCGGAACTTGCCCTTCTCGTCGACGGCTAGGAAGAGCCCCACGGCGCCTGCCAGGAAGATGTAGTGCTGCAGGGGCGTGGGGCGGTAGCCCGTGTACACGATGTGGCACGGCTGCTGGTGCACCTGGTATCAATCAAAACACAAAGGTCATACACAAGGCAAGGGAAAAGAAAAGGTGTTTTGAGGCGCTTCATATAAAGAGCCCCACGGCGCCTGCCAGGAAGATGTAGTGCTGCAGGGGCGTGGGGCGGTAGCCCGTGTACACGATGTGGCACGGCTGCTGGTGCACCTGGTATCAATCAAAACACAAAGGTCATACACAAGGCAAGGGAAACGAAAAGGTGTTTTGAGGCGCTTCATATAAAGAGCCCCACGGCGCCTGCCAGGAAGATGTAGTGCTGCAGGGGCGTGGGGCGGTAGCCCGTGTACACGATGTGGCACGGCTGCTGGTGCACCTGGTATCAATCAAAACACAAAGGTCATACACAAGGCAAGGGAAACGAAAAGGTGTTTTGAGGCGCTTCATATAAAGAGCCCCACGGCGCCTGCCAGGAAGATGTAGTGCTGCAGGGGCGTGGGGCGGTAGCCCGTGTACACGATGTGGCACGGCTGCTGGTGCACCTGGTATCAATCAAAACACAAAGGTCATACACAAGGCAAGGGAAACGAAAAGGTGTTTTGAGGCGCTTCATATAAAGAGCCCCACGGCGCCTGCCAGGAAGATGTAGTGCTGCAGGGGCGTGGGGCGGTAGCCCGTGTACACGATGTGGCACGGCTGCTGGTGCACCTGGTATCAATCAAAACACAAAGGTCATACACAAGGCAAGGGAAACGAAAAGGTGTTTTGAGGCGCTTCATATAAAGAGCCCCACGGCGCCTGCCAGGAAGATGTAGTGCTGCAGGGGCGTGGGGCTTCGCGCTCTACCAGCCCAACTCTGCTACCAGCCCCAAGTCCCTCGCATGTACTGCACAGTGACAACGCAGTCCTTCGTGCCACTGCACTGCAGCCCAACTCCCTCGCAGTCCCTCACCGCCCAACTTGCCACGCGACTGTCAGGTTGTGGGCTCACCGCGCCAGTGGCGTATCCAGAAACTTTGTAAGAAAACGAGAGAGAGTGAAAGATCATGCTGGACTAGGGTCATATTATCTAAATCAGACCATGCAGAATAAAGGGTTTTTATACGGGCCGTCATCAAAACTTTCGGAGTTATTTGTCAAACATATGTTATAGCATGTTTAGGCTGTAGTGGGTTAGACAATAGGGGGTACAGCATTTCTAGGGTTTCCCTATATGTACCCATCTCCTTTCTAGTTCATTCATTCCTCGCTAATTCTCACATGGTATAGAGCGGGTTCCCTAGTGGGACCGTTTTCCCTTGGGCCCACCACGTCGATTTTTTTTTTTTCCTACCCTAACCGAAGCGCGCATCGCCCTTAGCGGCCCGCCCTTCCCTCACGGCCTTAGCGGCCCACCCTGCCGCCCTTCGCGGCCCCTCTCGCGGCCCCTCGCGGCCCCCTCGCCGCCCTTCGCGGCCCCTTCGCGGCCCTTCGCGGCCCCTCTCGCGGCCCTTCGCGGCCCCCTCGCCGCCCTTCGCGGCCCCTTCGCGGCCCTTCGCGGCCCCCCTTCGCGGCCCTGCGCGGCTCTTCGCCGCCCGCCTGCTCATCGTAGCGGCTCTGCCGCCCCGTCGTCGCCGCCCCTGCCGCCACTGTCGCGGCCACCTGCCCTGCAGCAGCTGCCGTCGCCTCTGCTGCCGCCGTAGCGGCCCTGCTGCCGCTGCCGAGCCTGCAGCCGCCCTGCCGGCCCTGCTGTCCCGGCCCTGCCCTTCCACCTCGCCGCGGCCCCTCCTTGTGGCGGCCCCTTACCCTGCCGACGCGCCCCGGCCCTCCACTCCCGCCACTGGTAAGCGCACCGCCGCACCCGCGCGCTGCCGAGCCGCGCCGCCCTGCCGAGCCGCGCCGCCCTGCCGAGTCGCGCTACAGCTGCTGCCGCTAGGCCACTGCTGCTGCTCCTGCTGCTATGGCCAGCCCTAATGTACTCACCTTCGATGCTGAGGGTCGAGCAGTCGATTTTGAGGTCTGGGTCGATGATCTGCAGCTGTTCCTGCAGTGCAATAGCAAGGATGGAGTCTCACTTTTTGACCTCACGTCTGGCGCCTCTGCTGCACATGCTGCTGATGCTGCCAGTACTGTTCGCTCACAGTGGACCACGCGCGATGCTGCTGCCCGTCTTGCTGTCCGTAGTCACCTGCCGTCTGCTGAGCGTGCGCACTTTAGCCAGTACAAGACTGCTAGCACTCTGTACACTGCTGTTGTTGCACGCTACTCTTCCCCTGCCACTGCTGCCCTTAGCCGCCTCATGCTGCCGTACCTGTTCCCTGACCTAGCCGCTTTTGCCACAGTCGCTGACCTCATTACGCACCTCCGCACTAGTGACACCCGCTACCGCGCTGCGCTTCCTACCGAGTTCTGCGCCGCGAACCCCCCCTCTATGTACATCACTCTCTACTACCTCGTCACCCGGCTCCCTGACTCCCTTCGCTCGGTCAGGGACCACTTCCTCTCCCTTTGCCCCACCACGCTCACCGTTGACCTCCTCGAGGAGCGCCTCCTTGCAGCTGAGAAGATTATAGTCGCTGTAGGAGCCTCTCGTGGTGACCCTCGTGCCCCTTTCTTTGAGGGGTGCTCCCCCGTCCCTCTTTTGCCCTCTGTTGCCTCTGCTGTTGCTGTCGACCTCGTTGGCACCGAGTCGGTCGGCGCTGCGTCTGCCCCTAGTGGGAAGCGCCGCTACGGCAAGGGCAAGGGGGGCAAGGGGGGTGGAGGGGATGGAGGGGGCGGCGGTGGTGGCGGTGGAGGAGGCGGAGGGGGTGGGGGTGGAGGTGGGAGTGGTGGCGGGAGTGGGGGCTTCGGTGGCGGCGGTGGAGGTATAGGAGGCGGAGGCAGCGGCAGTGGGGGTGGAGGTGGCGGCGGCGGGGGTGGAGGTGGGAGTGGCGGTGGCGGTGGTGGGCAGCGGGGAGGCACGAGCGGTGGCCAGCGCCAGCAGCAGCAGCGCTCCCGTGAGACCCCGTCGCCTCAGCAGCTCCGTGAGTGGTACGCTGGGCGTGGGAGGTCTGGGGGTGCTGGTCCCTGCACTTACGTTCTTCGCACCGGCGACCGCAGTGGAGAGACGTGCGGCGGCCCGCACGCCACGCCACGCTGTTTCGGCCGCCTGACTGACGCCTGGCGTACACAGTTCCTTGGCTCCACTGAGATCCCTCGCTGGGGTGATCTGTTTAGGTCGGGGGTTGCTATCTTTGATCTTGATTATGATGCTATCCTTGCTGCTATGTATGCTGTGTCTATTAGTGCTGAGGGTGACTGTTACCTGTGTGTTCCGCCCGACCCGGGCATTGAGGCTGCTGCTCTAGGTGCTAGTGAGTCTGCTGCTCCAGGTGCTGGTGCGGCTGCTCTCTCAGGTACCGAGTCGGCTCAGGTCTTGCACACTTTCACCCTTGACTCGGGTGCTTCCCGCTCCTTCTTTCGCGACTACACCACACTCTCGCCGCTCAGTCGGCCAGTGGCAGTCTCTCTGGCTGACCCCTCTGGGGGTTCCGGTCCTTGCACACTCCTCCACGGTCCTGCCGTGTCCGGCGGTCCCGTCTGGCTCTCTGTCTGGCCTCCACCTCCCCTCGTTCTCCACGAACTTGGTGAGTGGATCTGACCTTCAGGACGTGTGGGTTGACCAGTTCACTCCTGGAGGTCAGCGGGTGACCCACTGTTCGTGTACTCGGACGGGCCGGCACCTGGCCACGTTCACCCGTCAGCCTGGGTCGAGCCTGTACACCCTGACTACCGTGTCTCCTCCGGTTGCTAAGTCTGGTCGGGTAGCCGCGTCGGGTCAGGTGTTTGCTGCAGCGTCCCGGTCTGGCCCTGAGTCTGCCCCCTGCTCGTGTCGCCTCCTGTCTCGCGAGACTCTCCTTTGGCACCACCGCCTTGGTCACCCCTCCCTGCCTCGTCTCCGAGGCATGGCCTCCCGTGTCCTTGTCTCAGGTCTCCCCGAGTCCCTCCCTCCCCTTCCTCCGGGGCCTGCCCCTACCTGCGTTCCCTGCGTCGAGGGCCGGCAGCGCGCCGCTCCTCACTCCTCCGAGTTTCCTCCGACAGAGGCTCCCCTGCAGACTCTTCACATGGACGTGTGGGGCCCAGCCCGCGTTCGTGGATAGGGTCACGAGCGTTACTTCCTGCTGGTTGTTGACGACTACTCGCGTTACACCACGGTCTTCCCCTTGCGCCGCAAGGGTGAGGTCACTGAGGTGTTGATCGACTGGATCCGCGCTGCTCGTCTCCAGCTCAGAGAGAGTTTCGGCTCGGATTTTCCTGTTCTACTTCTGCACTCAGACAGAGGTGGAGAGTTTTCCTCCGACCTTCTGCGAGCTTTCTGTCGGGCGGAGGGCATCCGCCTGACGTTCACGCTTCCGGCCTCTCCACAGCAAAATGGGATTGCTAAGCGCCGCATTGGCATGGTCATGGATGTCGCTCGTACGTCCATGATCCATGCGGCTGCTCCCCATTTTCTGTGGCCGTTCGCGGTTCAGTACGCGGCGCATCAGATCAACCTCCAGCCCCGGGTCTCCATGCCGGAGACCACCCCCACTCTGCGGTGGACGGGGAAGGTTGGCGATGCGTCTGTGTTCCGTGTCTGGGGATCTCGAGCTTTCGTCCGCGACTTGTCTGCGGACAAGCTGTCCTCCCGTGCCGTTCCCTGCGTCTTCCTTGGCTTCCCCCCTGACGCGCCTGGTTGGCAGTTTTACCACCCCACCTCGCGCCGTGTTCTGTCCTCTCAGGACGTCACGTTTGACGAGTCGGTTCCTTACTACCGTCTCTTCCCCTACCGCACTGCCCCCCTCCCCCCCCCGCCGATCTTCCTCGCGCCTGGTACTCCTCCGGTAGACCCCCTCCCCCCTTAGGGTCCTGCCCCCTCAGGTGTGTCTCAGGTAGACGCAGTCGAGCCTGTTGAGGTAGCTGTTGACTCTGGTGCTGCTAGGGGTGCTGAGACTGCGGGTGCCGGGTCTCGGGGTGCTGAGCCTGGGGGTGCTGAGCCTGGGGTTGCTGTGTCTGGGGGTGCTGAGCCTTGGGGTGCTGAGCCTGGGGTTGCTGGGATTGGGGGTGCTGCGCCTGGGGGTGCTGTGTCTGGGGGTGCTGAGACTGGAGGTCCTCCGAGTGTCCCGTCGCGGCGGGAGCCCCTCTCTCCACGGCAGCTTCGTGAGTGGTACGCTCGGCGCTGTAGCCATGGTGCTGGAGCTGGGGGGCCTGCTGGTGCTGCTGGAGGTGCTGCTGGTGCTGGAGCTGCTGGAGGTGCTGCTGGTGCTGGAGCTGCTGGTGGTGCTGCTGGAGGTGCTGCTGGTGCTGGTGCTACTGGAGGTGCTACTGGTGCTGGAGCTGCTGGAGCCGCTGGTCCTGGAGGTGCTCGTACTGGAGGTACTGGAGCTGCTGCGGGAGTTGGAGCTGGAGGTGCTGGAGCTGTTGGAGCTGGTGGTGCTGCGGGAGTTGTAGCTGGAGACCCTGGAGCTGAGGGTGCTGGTGCTGTCTCTGCTGGTTCAGGAGGCGCTGCGCGGCCGCGGCCGTACTATGTTCCACTCCTTCAGCAGGTTCTTGGCCTCCCGCCCTCCACTGGTCCTACTCCTCCCCTACTGAGTCGCAGTCACAGTTACAGCCAGCCTCTCCACTGCTTGGTCCTTCTCCTTACTCTGGACCGACTAGAGGCGTTACGGAGCGTCGAGCGCCTGAGTCTCGTCCTGCGTCGCCTGAGTCTCGTCCAGAGTCGCCTGTCCGCGCTGTCCGCACTGGTCGTCGTGTTCCGCGTGAGCGTCCTCCTCCTGTCCCTGGCACTCACTATATGACTTTGCGTCCTTCCACTGCTCCACAGCGTGTCCCTCTGCCGTCTCCTCCTGCGTCCTCTCTTCCTGACGGTCCGGACCCGGAGTCTGACTCCCTTCGTGCCGCCAGTCCTACTGTCACGCGTTTCCTCGCCACTGTTGTCACTGACCCTTCCTTTGAGTCCACTGCTGCGTCTGCTCTAGTTGCTGAGCTTGTTGACTTTGCAGCCGCCTGTCGTCTAGACTACGCCGCTAGCCTTGTTGCTGAGTCTGAGTC